TCCTGATCCTTTCCTCTTCTTGATTTCTTTCTTGCTCAATTCTCTTTCTTTCTTGATCTTCTAGTCTTCTCTTTTCCTCCATCTGTTGTATCTTCCTCTCCTCTTCCTCCATTTTTATCTTTTCCGCCTCCAACTTTTTAAGATTCTCCTCTACCTCAATCCTTTTCCTCTCTTCTTGTAGTTTCATTTCTTCTTCAATTCTCTCACACTCTTCCTTTTCTTTAATCATCCTCTCTTCTTCCTCTCTCTGCTTTAATTGTTCCATTTCCTGCTCTCTCACCAGTTCTTCCTCTGCCTCTTTCCTCCTTCTCTCCTCTTCAGCTTTCTCTTTAGCCACCCTCATTTGCTCCTCTTCCTGTCTAATTTTCTCTTTTGCTATCCTCTCTTCTTCTTCTTCTAGTGCCCTCTTTTCCTCTGCTAATTTATTCTCTCTTCTCTTTTTTCTTTTTTCCTCAGCTCTCTCCTCTTCTTCACGTCTAATTTTCTCTTCATTTCTCCTAATTATTTCCTCTCTCTGTCTCTTTTCCTCAAGTTTCCGCTTCACTTCTTCTTGCCTCTCCCTTTCTTTTGACAGCTTTTTCTGCTCTTCTTCCTCTTGTTTAAGTCTTTCTTCTGTCTTCCTTTTCTCTTCTTTCAAAATTCTTTCCTCTTCCTCCCTTTTTACTTTCTCTTCAAGCTCCATTCGCTCTTCTTCCTCTCGTCTCAGCTTCCCCTGAGCCAACCTTTCAAGCACCTCTTGACTCTTAAGAGCTTCCTCTTCCTTTGTCCAGTGTTCCTCCACAGAAGTCCTTTCTTCTTGTTCCCTTTTCGTTCCATCCACGGCGTTTTTCTCCTCTTCCTCCTCCTCTTCCTCCTCTGTCCAGGGTGAGCACTGCCTTCCAGCTCGTAGTGAATCCACAGATGGTGGAGAGCTTTCGGGGACCTCCTCCATTGATCCGTGGCCTGAACTGGCCACACTGAAGTTGGAGCTAATGCGTGAGGTCCGGGGCTGTGGCTCCTCACAGTACACGTGGCTGCCATTGATGCACAGGGTGCTCTGCTCCACAGGAACTTGTTTATGATGACCAGAGGATAAATCTTTGCTTTCTGAGCTACTGGAGCGTTTGTGTATCATGAACTTGAACTTCTTTTTACCTGTAAAATACATTAAAAAAAGATTAACATGCATTTAAAAGACCAAAAATGATTAATGGTGATGAAAATGCTAACCTTCGGAGGGCTCCACATTCAGACCAGACGACTGGCTGCCACTTAAAAAGGAGTTCTTTGGAGGGAGGACGGACATAGATTGAGACAGATTTCTCTGCAGGTTTGTCTTGGGAGAAAACAAAGATTTCTTCTTATGTTTCTTAGAATTGCCATCTTTGCTTGCCCCCATGCCGTCTCCATTCGCCTCCTCCTCCTCACTGTCCGTCAGAACCTGAGAGAAGGATGGCACCACACTAGACACGGAGTCTGATTCCTTTTTCTTGCCACGAACTTTGTCCTTTAACTTGCCAAGGCGGGAACGGGATTTTCCGACAGCAGAGAGGTCAAACATGCTGGCAGTCATGTTGTTTCTCATGAACTGGACGTCCACAAGCACTTCTCCTCGGTCTTTGTCTGGCTTGCCAGTCTTGTCCAATAACTTAAACCATCTGTTAAAAGAGAGGCACAACACAAGAGTTCAGATTTAGAGGAGAGAGGTAGCATCTCTTTCTTTGACGACCTTCTTGTTAAAAAAAATTACTTCAAACATTTTCTGTGTTTTACTATAAATAAAACTGCCCAGTTTCTTTGCGACTTTAGTTATACAGCAATTAACATTTATTCTGAGTACACTTCATTTCGTGGAAACTTTGAACCACCCCTTTAAAAATGGACAGTGACTCAGTGGCAGCCTGGATGTTTTAGGAAAGTATGATATTATAGAAATATACAACCCTTTCTGTAGAGTCTCAGACATGGAGTTTATGAATGCTTCTGTTTAACAAACATTAAGTTACGAATGGTGTTATATTTAGCCCCTCATTTCTCAATAGGTTAAACCTTGCAGTCCTACAATATATAAGGAACAAGAATTTAACAGCTTTAATTATCTGCTTGACTGGATGAACCATAACAATCATTCATCACTGAACAGTACAGGTTGTCCTCTCTACAACAGGTTTTATTATTGTCCATCCTTTTGTTTTTAAATTGAGCTGTTAAACTCCTGTCCCCTACAGAGGACAAAAGGCATTGCGGCTAATCCCAACTGGCTAGAAAAGACGTTTTCTAACCTAATATGGCAGAGATTATACTTCACAGGCTTTGCGTTCATGGCCCACTAAAATTTTATGAACATGCTGCCTGTTCCAGACGTTTCACCATCCAGGTATTTTTGAAGACCCTAAAAAGGGTTTCTTTTAAAGTGTGTAAGGCTGTCATAGAACCAGGGTCTCCTGCGAGCCCCATCTTCACCGTACTGTGATTGTGTACTACACAGATTTAATGCAAGCAAAGAGACTAGTCCACAAGTAGATATTAGAATAATAATGTAACAAAGATGAGATTAAATCAAAGTTTGTTTAACTATAAAACAGAAAACCAGTGTTTGGTTAAAATGGCAGTGTACCTGTGCCAAGATCATCATTAACTTTAAAAATAAAAAAAAGGAAAAAAAGTCAAAGGAAAACTAGTCAGCGTAAAAAGTGTCCATCAGGCAGAAATCAGAGGTCAGCTCAAAACTGAGAAAACAACTGAGACTGAATATTCCAGAGGAAATGAAGAAGGGGCACTGTGTACTTTGTGAAGAGCCCGTTTTGAGGTGTGCCTGCAGGCATTTGTTCTTGTTCTTTTATTCTGCCTTACACATGATTGTTTGTGTTATGAATTTATATGGCACACATAATAGCCAGGCCTTCAGTTTACAAAAACTAGTTCCTCAAGATGTTTCCCAATGTAAAATAAAGAAAGTGCTGTCGTCTGTCTGTTCTATGCAAGTTACTCATCCTCCTCCTCCTCCAACAGGAATGCTTCAGATGTGAGGCACAAACAAATTAAGGAGGGAAATCGCCTTTTCCTGGAATTTGCTAAATGGCACAGGGCTGTCGCAACCCCTCTGCATTTCTGCTGATGAGGAACAGGATATGGTTTACAGATTTCAGGCCATGACATTATAAATATACTACTGTAAGGTTTTCTTTTTTAGATGGCCTAATGAATGTTAAAGAAAAGACAAAAGGTGAACAGATTTTAAATTGTCCTATAAATATATTGACAATGTACTACTACTTGTATGTACTACAAGTATTAAAAAACATGATATCATTTATCCCTCTCTGATAAAAGATATCACAGAATGCATTTCTAATAATGCAGAGATTATGGTGCACCAAAAGATCCCGGGATGAAGACAACAAAGGAAAAATTCCTGTGCAAGATTAGTTTGTTGGTCCCCCCTTTGATGCAACTCTAAAAGGAAAAAAGGAAAAGGAAGGACCAGCAAACCCAATATATTTGTGCTTTCATAGGCCTGACTTAGCATGTTAGAGATATGACTCATTCACAAAGAGTCTTAGGAAAGGAACACATTTCAAGATTGCACAAACCTTCTCAATAGTTCCTCTGAGGTCCATGAAGTCAATATCACGTTATTGCTCACAGGGCAAGAAAAAGCCACAAACGAGATCATCAAATAGACACAGATGATTGTTCAACTGAGACCACAGCTGCACCTTCAGAGTAGATTTTTAAGATTACTGAAACAAGAAAACTGAAAAGAAACTACCCAAATTTAGCAGAAAAGTGAATTGATTGTGATCCGAAGGCTGCAGCTCGTAGCACAGTGAACATTTAGTGGCAGAGAGAGGAAGACTTTGCATAAACATCTCCAAATTCTGAGAGCAAAACATCTATAAATGTGGGGTGAGCGCGGGGCCAAGAAGTCAGAACCATCGCACAACCACACAAAAATGCCAATTCCATTGAAAAAAAAAGAAAAAAAAGAGAAGTATTAAGTTCCTTCAGCTAAACAGAAAGGAAGTTACAAAAGTATTTGGGCGTCAACTGCTTTGGGTGCGCATCACTGTGCATAATACAGAATTAATGCGGCCTTCACTTACTGCCTCAGTGCAGACAACGCTGTGATCTCACACAGAAACAGAAAGCGTACCGATCTGACAAAGAGACGGCTCCACAGGATGACAATGGATGACTCAACATTTTTGTGAACATGCATATCCCACATTCAACAGACACACACATCCTTCCTCCGATGGCCTGACCTGCTGATAACAAAACGCCTGGAGTGGCTCAAGCCCATCTTATCTCAGACGGCAGCAGTTAGCGGCAGAACAGCTGAATAAGTAAAACAACCTAACAGTTATGATGTCCAAGGACAAAAACTATCCAAAGCCGATCGTAATCATGAGTCAGAGAAGCCAAATTGAAGGGTGCTGGCGAGTAACCACCACAGTAAGAACTGAAGTGTGTCCTGCATGAGGGTAGTGGAGGGAGAGCTTTTATTTTAAATACGTAACGTCTCCTTGTTGTTTGCAGCCACTGCATCAATTCTAGACCATTAAATTTAGAGTTAAAGAAGCAACTAAATGAAGTAATTGTCTGTATCATAGAATGGTTTATTCATTCACTTATTTGACCTAAAAAAAAAGGCAGGATGACGTCACAGATAGCGCTAATAAATGACAGCTGGTCTCATTGTGGTTCCGGTTCTGTGTTGCTGTCTTAACTAAGTACAAAAGAAGAGAAAATCTATCAGGCATTCTCATATCGATACATTTGCTGCCTATTTTTTCTACCTTAACAAAACTATGAGAATACCAATTCAAGATCTCAAACAATTTAAAGCTACTGGGGGTTCCTTGTACTTCAGATTCTTTTTTTAAAAGTCAGCTATGACGCAGTTTAGAATAATTTGTCCTTTAAAAGCTAAAAAAAAAAAAAAAAAAAAAAAAAATTTAACGTCACATCTGAACAATGGAAGTGGCCTTTTAAGCAGCACGTGCTGATTAATTGCTTTGCAGGCTTCAAAAATGTCAAAACAGTCGAGTTGTTGTTCTGACACGTGTGCCTCTGTTTGTCCAGGCTCAGAACAGCCACCGTGGCTCTGCTCTGGGAAAACTGACCTTGCTTTCACTGTTGCCATTACTGTTTGTCTTTCATCGATAAAACTGTCAGGAATGTGAGGAAATAGTTGAACTGAAACCTCGGCGGCAAACTGCATTCACACTGCGGTCCAACAAAGATCAACAGAGCCCTCTGATTTTACCAAGAAAAGAAAAGAAAATAGCTGAGGCTTAGGGGAGGAAGAAGGAACATTACTTCAGATTTGCTCTCGTTAAACATATTCCTGATTTTTGAATGACGGGCCAAAAAGATTCTGTGGGTACACGATAATGTCTGCTGCTGATAAGTCGTTTTCTAACTAGTTTGTTTCTTTTTATGATTTCAAATGTAATTTCACCACAGATCACTGCACCATCTGTTCACCATGTTGATTTTTTGTCCTCATTTGTCATAGTTTGCCACAATATGAACCGAGAACCAATTCATACAGATTTATGATGAACTAAAACAGACAAATATTTAACACAATGAACAACAACAAAGCTATGTTGTGCGTGCAGTGACTTCAAACAGGGGGAACAAACAAACAAGTAGGAAGTTAACAACAATGAAGTGTGTGTGTGTGTGTGTTAGTGTGTATTTAGACAAACAGGCGGTTACTGCAAGCTGCTTTTGGATCATACTAATCGGGGAGGGATTAAAATACTTTGTAGCAGCTTAGCATACTAAAATATTTCCTACAGAAGTGTGATGAGTGGATTTCCATTTTCTTCTGGAGGGTACAGATGATTTCCAATAACTGGACCTGCAGTTTTATATAGGCCTGTAAAACCCCATCACTGTCATTTTTAAAAGAAAAAGAAAAAGGGGTTGTTAATGGTTTAGAATAGTAAAGATTATAATTAATTTAGATAACTATTGGTTTTGCTCTTGTGCTTGTAGACCAATTGAATTTGCAGTTTAATCAGCCTTCTTTAAAGCTGCACAAATGTGCAGGGGAATGAAGTTTCGATCGTTTTTGTCTGGGCAGGCTCAGTCAATGAAAGTGAATACTCACTCTACTGAATAAGTCATGCTACTTGGCATCCTTGAGGGGTGCTGCTGAGGAAAAACAAATCCCTTAAGCTGCATGGTGCCAGTGGGCAACATTCATAAGTCAAACCCACTAGAACGGGTGTGCGCGGTGATGCGTGGCTGGATCTGTTCCAGCGGCTCAAATCATCACAGCAAAGGAGCAAATAAAACAGAGAGAGGCTCTGTTCACCCCCAGCGAGAGCTTTCCAATGCATTAAAAACAGACAAGAACGCATTCACTAAGCAGCCGTGTATTGTCCACTGCTTCCGTGTGTGCTGCATCATTTCATTCCATTACTGAGGATTCCACAGGGATGATGGGCTTTTGTCCTGACTGACCAGAGAGGGGCAGCAGGACCGACCCGGTACCAGAGGTTGCTCCCCTGGGGCGCACAGGTAAAAGTAACTCAGACTTTATTGTACCTCTCACGGCTTAGAAATTTTGTTGTGAGCAGACCAGCTCTGGGCCTGACTCTGGACAAACCCTTTTTGTTCAGTAGTCTTCCCTCCAGGTGACCAGAGGGCCAAAAGAAGGGTAATGCACATATTAATGCCCTTTACTTTATACTGAAATAGACTCAGCTTCTCAAATACAGCTTATGCAGTACTTGCAACTGAACATAATCAAAATATTATGGCTTTTTTTACTAAAAAGGTGCTGACTGAACTCTTTTTTTTGCATTTCTCAGTGGTTCTGAGCCTGAACTCACTCGGTCTTGTTGCGGCTCTTGTCCTCGCTCAGCTGCGGCAGGCTGATGACCGCCTGGCCCAGCAGCTTGTCCGGCCCCACCAGGGCCCGGTGCAGGACGTGGACGCGCAGCGTGCCGCGCTCCGGGCCGCCTCTGCCTGCCCCCTGCAGCGGCGGGGGCAGGTCGAAGGTGGCCTCCTCCTTCCACACCGGGGCGACGCTCTTCTCCACCACCGACGTCTGGTACTTGTCCTTCCCCACTTGCATGAGTGCGTAGGCATCGTTGGTGCCGCTCTTCCCCTTTATCCTCAGGCCTCTGGCTTGCAGGACCGTTACCTGGACGCTCGTGGGAGTCCACTGCTGCTCCGAAAAAGACATGCCGGCGCTGTCCGTTGCCTGATCCGTGGCGCTGAAGACTTAAACCCCTGCGCAAAGCTCGGCCCGGTCCACCGTGGGCTCCCTCCCCGTGCGGCTGGACAGGAGCGCGGAAAAGTTTGCGCAGGAGGCTCGCTGAACTTTGAGGAGCAGCTGACTGGGCGTGGTCAGAGCGAGGGCAGGCCCCGGGCTTTGGGGGGGCCACTCCCCCCGCGGTGGCAGGTGGTTAGGTGACTCCCGAGAAGAAGTTGACACGTATAGTAGTGGTGTGTTCTTTCGGGCCCCGACGCTCAATTACTGGAGGTAAACAACCACACCTGATCCAGGTGTGTGTCCGCCACGGTGAAGGAAGTCAGTGTCTCATCAGACCCAGACTGAGACACTCACCAGAGCCTGTTTGGACTTGTTTTTTCTTTTTACCAAAGAAAAAGTTCAAATTAGTTTAGATTTATCTAAGAATCTCTAAATGAGATCTATTGGCTGTAACAGTAACATCAGAGTGGGATCATTTCTCACAAACCCCTTGTTTTTCCAGGAAGAGGGGAGGAAAATGCTATTGTTTTGTCTTTATTGTGACTGATTTAGCATTGTATCAGTGCTGCCAGTGTCTGATCTCACTCTCTGTGGTTCACAGTGTTGAGCAAAGATTAAAGCTGGAGGTATATATATATATAGAACCTTAAGCCAATTAGTACATTTACGTAAGTACAAGCTCTGACAAAGTGTGTGATGCAATAACTGCAGTAGTTAGAGCTAATTATAGCATAACTGTATACTTTGGTTACTGAGAGACGATAGTTTGTATGTTTTTAATAAAAAACCTTATCTTAATATAATATACATGATATTTGTGTGACAATAAAAACTAATCAGGATATTTTTTTAACACTAATGTTAATGTAGTCTGATTTATTATCTATGTAGGTATTTATTATACCTGTTCTGCATTTGGACTTTGAAATGCAACAGTTCCCACAACATACAAATGAATAACATACTTTTATGTCTCAGACACATAAAAATGACACTTGTCACTCATTTTAAGACTTTAGAAAATATTTCTCTACAAGATGAAAGTCTCCGATGATAAGACACACTGTAGGTTCACAGCATCCCCGTTGTGTATTTGCTGAATCTTGATTGTCTTCATCCTCCCCCGGACCATTAGCTTCTAAACATTTATTTTCACATTAGTCCTTGTGGTCCCCCACAAGAACTTTGCTGTAAAGTTTCTGCTGCTCCTCTTTAAAAGTATCCTTCACTTTGGCACGTTTTAATCCGGCATCCCTGAGAGAGGAAAGAAAGAAAAATGTTGTCGCACTGAATCAGTAGTGTCGCTAGTTCTATATTTCATAAACCCTGAGGGTACCTCGGGAGCATTATACTGGAGACATTAATCAAACTTAAAATCGAATAATGCCTATGGGAAGCAGATTATGTGCTTTACACAAGTATTGACCTTTTATTAAGTTTCTAACGCCCAAGAAAACATCTAATGGGACTAAAAAGGCTCATCGTGACATCTAAAAACAATGACTCACCATACAAGATCTACTAATCCTCCTTGGGCAGCTATGGCGGCTTTCACTCTGTTGGCAAACTGTATCGCATCTTCACCTTCCTTTAAAATGATAACAAACACAATGGGATGAAGGAAGAGTATTCTAGTTGATTAATTAACCAGTCACTGATCTGAAAGTACGCAACAAAAAGCACAGAGCAAGAGTGTAGGCAACCATATTGTTTCTTTGAAACTATCTACAGAAACCCATGGTGTTCATGGAGTTCACACTGTCCAATTTACTCTGATTCACCATCCTCCAGAACTCTGAATCAGTTCCCCTTTTATGACGTAGACTTTTGAACTTGGCTGACAGAGCTGTCTCTTTCTTTCATGTTTGTTTTTATAGGATAATTATAAAGGCACTACACTTACTGCATTATATATTTAGAAACAGCAAAAGCATCTCCGATTAATGATACTATGTCTAGTTCTGGGGTTACCTGTAGCCCTGATATTATCTATTATTATTATTAGTAGTATTAGTAGTAGTATTATTATTAGTAGTAGTATTACCTGATATGTTTAGGAAGAAAATCTTTTCATGACTTGATGACAACTCCAAATAAATCAGATTTTGCTTATATGTTTCTTTGATGGTGGAAGCTTGGGCTTTACCTCTCTGATCATCGGTGGTAGGTACCAAATACTGCAGACGATGGCCCAGCTGCTCATCACCCTCAGAAGATAACCGACCAAGCCAAACTTACTGCTGTTCCAAAAAGGGTCTCCAAACCGGGGATCGTACTGTAAGAGAGAAATCTCCAACTGACTGTGGTGGGGAGTAAAATGATCACAGAAGACTAAATGGACATTATATTTTACCTTGATGGCAACAGGATAGACGGTGCAGCCAATTTCAAAGCTCCCCTTCTTGAACATCATCACTGATGTGTTGTTAACGCACGTGCCTGCAGATGATATGAAGCACTGTGCACATTCAACAAGCAGCAGCTGCTGTTCTTTATTTGACTTTTTTTTTTAAAATCACCCCTCTCATTTGCATATTACTGCTTCTTTTGTATTTGTTTAATTTTTCACTCTGTGAAATAAAATGGTAATCTATTATTCTGCTTGAAAAACTAAATCAGTCACAGCTGAAACATCTCCGAACAAACAAGTCCGATTACCCTCATTCAATTTTTGAGATCATCATGACCTGGATGACAATACTACTAATTTCCAGTAACCTGCTTTATTTGTTTAGTCATTTATTTAAACACACAAAAATTATTCAGATATCTTATGTGGACAAACACATATTGTTTTGTTCTGATTGTTAGTTTGTTACATTGTGTAAACTATTCATTTGAATGAGTAGTCAGTGAGATACAAACCCTCAGGGAAGATGAGGATTGGCTGTTTGGTTCTGTCAGCTACATGATCACTAAGCCTGAAATGAAAAACCAAACAAAAATTTATTCAATATATACATATATATATGTGCGTGTGTATATATATATAAAACCCCTTAAATCCAATGCCACAACAAAAGCTGTTAAGATCGACACATTAGTTGATTCTAGAAGATTTTCAGTCATACCAATCAAATTATTTTGTAAAACCTATGGCGGACGACATCCAATCAACTTGATGTTCACTAAAGTGAAAGGTTTATACGACATATGCTACACCAAAGTACAGGAGCAGGTTCACTCCAGGGTCCCTTAAAAGATGCCATGTTACCTTTTGACCACTAGGTGTCTGTCTTTGACTTCGGCTCTTTCAAACCATATGTGGGGAGAAGATTTGACCATGGCTGCTTGGATCATTCCCAGTAAGCCTCCATGCACCTGGCCAACCTGGGGAAGAGCAACCTTGTTTTCACATACACTATACATTCGAACTGTTTCTTCTAATCATAAAACCACATGCATGGACACAAACAAACTGCATACCAAAGCATAGCAGCCATCGCTGGCCAAAATGATCACATCAATTGGAGTAGTGTGATTGGCCACACAGATGCCATCATTCTTTGGCTTGTTCTCTCTGCGGTTAAACGAGACACAGATACTTAACATACTGGACATTGGATGTTTTTTAACAGGTCACAAATCCTTTGTTATTGTCTGGAATTGAGACATTTGGACAAAATTGTAGTCGTTTCAAATGATGCCATCCCACTGCACTGAAGCTGAAGTGAATTCTGAGCATTGTTGCTCCCATACCTGTTATGGTAGGTGACGATTGCTGTGAGTGATATGACACAGAAGTGGTAGCCCATCAGATGCAACTTCTCACTGAGGTAAGACCTTAACCTGAAAGCAAAAAAGCAAAACACCACAACTATCAATTCATTTCCAAGCACACACGGTACATCTCGTCTTTGTGTCACTCGTCATAAGCCTCATTCTCGCTCTCATGCATGACGATTATAAAAACTGGCAGAGACTCACTCTGGGTAAGGTAAAAATCCCACCAAGGTGCTCAGAGAGACGAACAGAGAAATGCCTGTGACTGCAATGGTTATCCTGCAGAAAAACAAAACAGTGACTCCACATTGAAACGGACACTCACAGCGAAGTGCCACTGCCCCTTTCCCCGAGCTGCTCCGACCTGAGAGGCAGCAGCACGCCGTAACGGATGAGAAGCCCCAGGCCCCACAGGACTGTGAGTCTCAGACTTATGTGACGGAAGTTGTAGTTGCTCCGAGTTAGTAAGTTCCAACTCTCTAGCTCCTGGGCCGAAAAACGCTTTGTCACCTCATCGTCGATTATGCTCTCCACACCTCTCCGGCAGAAGTAGAAGATGTCAGCCATCTCGAACTCGGACTCTGAACACTGACAGCTGGACAGACCCCGAAGCTCCTGGATCTCCTGATGTAAAGACAGTGTTGGCTCTTTGGATATGATGCCTTCAGTGACAAGGCGGAAAAATGCATTATTAGGAAAATATTAAGGGTAAAATAAGCGTTTATGACTGGCACATGCTAGGGCATATGTATGTGTAACAGTAAATGTAGTTTACCATCTGTATATGGCTTGTAGAGTGGCTGGTTCTTCTCCTTTGCTCTTAACTCCATTCGCAATGAGGCCCACTAAATTAAGAAAAATAAAACAGACTTCTAAAATGTCTTCAATGTAAAAACAATAAGCCTAAAACTTAATCTGCTCTTTCCTTTTTAAATTGCATCTATTGAGTTGATCTAAAACAACAACCAGTAATATTAACAACAGCTTGGGCTCAACCAAATAAATTAAAATGCTTTACATAACTATACATCTGTAGGCCAGCAGAATGGGTAAAGCTGTTGCTATATACCTGGACATTTTTGAAAAACTGATGATGATAAAATCCTATGATTTTATCATTTTAAAATCTTTTGTTTGTTTCAACAAGAATGAGATCGCATATATATCTCCGAGTCCAAGTAGCTCTAGGAGTGGGACAGTTCGCCTACAATAGCTGACTGTTCTGGTCCTATTAAAAAACTGGAAAAGAGGATTACAATATTTAAAAAATCCTATTATGTTACACATTTGATTTGGCTCAAACTGTTCATTCATGGTGAATTTTCTAACTTCCACAGACATAATGCCAATGGATGAACTTAGCCCCAAGCTTCTAAGATTCTTCAAGAATACACCCCGTTTCAGATGGCTAGAAGCTTTTTTCACCTTGGGGTGAGTCCCAATAAATAGTTCTCTGAGAAAAAACATTCATCGTTAATCTTTACTAATGTTTAAAAGTCTGCTTATGAAGGATCAATGCTGTATCATAGCATTACAAATGTCATGTGCCATTTTTAGGCCAAGGTGTTCTCTAGTAAGACAAATAACGGGAGATACATGTGCAAAACGCAAACATTGAGGCGGCACGTCTAGGGTGTTTATATACACATGCACACAAATGTTATCAAGAGGCCAAAAATATATTGTATGGGAATCTGTGATGGATGATGTATTTAGTTTACCAAAGAAGCTGCAAAAGTGGCTTATAGAAGCGACCTCAAGGCTAAATATTTTAACAAAATGTAGTTCAATGTCGAAAAATAAAACTTTTAATCTATTATCAGTTTAAAACAAAACAAAAATGACATTGGCTTCTTACCCTTCTTATAATATCAAATAATACAAAAACCTCAAGCTCACCTCAAATATTTTGATAAGTGTCCTCATGTAGAAGCTGCGGATACCAAAAGAGACTCGGAGCACAGCGGGCACAACGATAAAGACAAACATAAGAGCCATCCAGGCAGCGATGGAGATGCTGAGACATGTGCAGAGCAGTTTGTCAGCAGGCAGAGTAAACCAGGTCATGTTTTCAACAGCAGAGAGGACACCAGGGCCACAAAGCTGCAGGCCACACCGAAACTCTCCGCTTTATCTTCTCCGGTCAATTCCACTGTACACCATGCTCCTGAAAAATAGCACAAAGCAACAAGCCACACTGGTAATCCCGTTAACATTTTTTTTCATTGAATATCCTTTTTGGCACTTTCATCTTCATATTCATTGGTCTTAAAACACGTGAGTGAAATAAAGTGAAATAAACATGTAAATTCCATTTAAAAACAGGAGTCCTGTTCCTTCTAAAACCAGAATATCTAGAATTATATTGTTTTCTGCTCATGCTTAAGATGATAAGTCAGGGAGGCAATACAGCAAGAAAACCCAACCTTTAAGGAGCAGCTAAAAAACTGGGAAAAGCTTGCAAAATATAGATATCATTCTTACCAATTAACATCCAGTTACTTAGAATTATATTGGTTTACTTTGCTTACCTATTTCGTCTTTTTAGAAATATTGTTGACAGAAAATGTCAGGAGGAAGGTCCCTTTAAGAGTCCACAGGTGTCAGTAGCAAACAGCCTGGCAGCTCCACGGTTAGCTTCTGCTAACCACTTCCAACGGCTACTACCATTTTCTTCGGGACACAGTTAGAGATGTGGAGAATACAGCCAGGTGGTGCTCGGTTTGGACAGACCCCACTCATGTAAAAATATCTGGCACTGTTCCTTTAGTTTTGCAGGATACTAACAAGGCGCCTCAGCCACTGTCAGAGTAAAGTCACCATGGCAACAGGTGGCCAATGAGAGCCGCTGCCGCTGTGGGCTGGAAAGGAAGCTTAAATCTGATTAGGGTGAATCCACCTCTAGAGCAGCCTGTTAAAGCTGTGTTCAACGGGGGGGAAGAAAATAATGGAAAAACCGCTTTGCTATTTTAGCTTTGGTATTTGTATTCTCACTTTTGTCTTTCTGTTTTTCTTTCTTTTGATTAGAGCAATTTTTAGGAAGTTAAATATGATCAGGTTCACCTTGTTTAGGATATGTGTGCTATGTATTTTGGTGTGTATCTTTTGAACTTTTAAAATGTTTAACTGTTTGTTTTTTTCTCTTGAAATGGAAAAAACTACTACATTGTCACCAAGAAATAAAAAAACTGAGAGAAAACTGACAGAAAAATCAAAAGCAGAAAAAAAAGTTTCAAAACATAAAAGCAAAATAGGTGAAACTGAAATAACGATACTGAAAAGAGTCTTGAAGTAAAAAGGTTTTACCTTAAACTGAATTGATAAAACTATATCAATAAAATTAATAACATTTTGAGCACAAAGAAAGATAAGAAAACAGAAAAAAAAAACTAAAAAAAGACTATAAAGTAAGAACAAAATATAGATAAATCAAATCTGATACTGAAAAAGGAATCAATGAAAATAAACTATTTAAATGCCTTTAACATGTAGCTCCTGTATATATCAATGGTGTGTGTTTAAGTTTTAGTTTTAGGAGTACTGTATTCCTTAAATCAGTGTATTCCAATTGTAGAGTAGCATTTCGGTGGCTGTATCTCCAAATCGTCATGAGTGATTAGTGGTTTTCGGAATATCTGCACAAAAAAATTCTAGCCCAAACTAAAGAATTATTTTGGTTTTCCTTTTCATGAAACCAAAAGACATGTAACAGTTGAAATAAAAACCTTTATTTGAATATATTCTGCTACAAATTGCAGTAAATCTCTGGCATGCATAGTTTCACGCAGTTAAGACACAAACAAATCACATAAAAAGACTTCCTTTTTGAGATCATGTTAACTTTCGAGCATGCAAATACCTTCATGGCCATTCCAGAACAGCCTTGCAACAATATAGCTATCCCAACAACACTCAGTAAACTAAAGTAGACTCATGTAATAATTTTGCAACTGTCTTTGGCTTTTTTCACGAGGAAGCTCCTTTCACCTCCTTAGGAATATTGACAATGAATATAACAAAAATGTTATTAGAGTTTCAACGGCACCTATGTTAACGCATGGCAATGTTAGTCCGATTCATTTTGAGGTATTACAGTTAAAAAGTGTATTTGTTGCACCAAAAAGAAAAAAGTCTAGCGTCAGTAGTCCTCTGTATCAGTAGACTCACACAACCTCATTAAATAAACACATTTATCTGTCATGTCTGACAGAAATGAAAGCATAACCAAAATGTCCCTGTTTATCAGCAACAAAGAGACGACTCAAAACATCTTCCATATATTCTGGCTATTCATGCAGACTAATAATCAGACACAAAATACACATAACTGAAGGCTCTTCACAGTAGTAACAACAGTTTCCTTTGAGACTGTTTGGAGTTGAAGAAGTCTGGTACTCTTACACACAGTTGAGTCTACACATGTCTATCACAGAAAGACAGACTTAAAGTTAATAAGATCAGAAGAACAGAATTAGTGCTACAGGACAGATAATTACCAAGGAAATACTGGCTTTCTTTAACCAGGGTTTGACAGCAATCTCCAGCGACATTTCATAAACAGCTACGGTGGAGAAAAACAACAACATATGCACAACACACAAACACACACGTCTGATTAACATTAAACATTTCCATATTGCGATTGTATTTGTGCTTGATGTAACCACATAATTGAAGGGGATGTCGTCTTATAGTTTGGTTCTTTGCAGCCATGACATTGTCTTGCAAATATATCATCTTGATTGCTACAGTCGGTAATAATAATGTATTGGCCAGCTTTGTATGTGCATAACAGCTCAAACATCATATTACCTTAATTGGCCCTGTGGGTCCACTCTATATATAAAATGGTGTTACTAAAGAAAACTATGTTTTTGAAATTTACTTAGCAAAAGTCAGGAATGCAGCCATTGGTTTTGTTTATGCTCTAAGGAACAGCAGCGGTGTGTTAATAACAGTGTTGCTCTAGGCCATAGTCATCTGCCGTTGTGCTTCACTGTGGCAGTTTCAGGGCATGTTGATATGTTTTTCCTGTTTTACTCAGTCCAAAAAGTTCAAAATCTTGTACTTGTCCATCTTTGTCCTTCCCTTCAAATCCAGCAGAGAATCCAAGTACCATAGTTGAATAAAATCTCAGCTTTCTGACAGGGACTCATCGTGACATCATCCGCACAAATTCTGTGAAAAATAGAAAAAGAAATAGTGTTTACAAGACCGGCAGCCGGCATTAGTTTCCTTCTGCATTAAAAGTACAAGATTCAGCAAGACCTGGACTGCAGTGCTTCATATTTTTATTGTGCCTACTTAAAGCGTTCTAAACTCTTCATTATGGCCTAGTTGAGAAAAGCAGGTCTTTGTCATGGTTTTTATCCCTTTCGGCCTGCACGCATCTTTTTCTCAGTGGGTAATCTCTGACACGACAAAATCCGTTAGCACTGAGTTAATCTGACAGACATTCCTTCATCCCCTCACCTCAATATCAGCATGGGACTGGGATATAGGGCAGACACATGCTGGGGCTTGGATACGTGTGAATGTGTGTATGTATACTGTATGTTTGAGAGATAAACTAAACAAGATCGAATGTGGTCTTTCTTACCTTCAAAGTCTACGTGTCCATCTCCGTTTAAGTCAATGTCTCGTAAAATCTCCTCAAGGTCTCTGTGCCCGACCTGAAAAAGTCTTGTTTTAGGACACAGTATGAACTTTGACAGTACAAACTCATTAGATTTACATGCTGGACAGACAGACACCAGACTGAGTGATGGACAGACAGGAGCTGCGTACCTGCTGCCCCAACAGTTTCTTCATTGCTTCTCTGAGTTCGGCTGTGCTGATCTGGCCATCACCGTTTGTGTCAAACTGAACGAAGGAAAATGTTGGTTGTTAAAAAGAGGAATAGCCTAAATAGCCTTTCTATTTCTTATAGAAGCACAGAGTGGTGGAAGTAGAGTGTGAACTCCTCACCTCCTTGAAAGCGTCCCTCAGTTCTTTGACCCCTATCATGTCTGCAGTTTCTGCCAGAAGTTTGGGCCCCATGAGTTCAACAAAGTCCTCAAAGTCAACATGTCCTCCCACTGACAAAGAGATTAAAAGTTAACCACAAAATACGGTTTGAAGCAACCTGTCATCGGATTCTCCCTCTAAATTTGTCATAAGAGGGCATCAAAGCTGTGGCCAAAACCCCAGTTCAAAATGCTAATGGTTATATTTCAAATTTCCGATACAAAATTCATTGTTTGTGTAAGAAAGAAGACAAGAAAACAAAAAAGATTTGTGGACATGAACATAAGAAAGGACAAGCGCAGTTTTAGTTACAGTTCATGTTGATCTGCTGGCTCAGTTCTATTAACTCCATCTCTGTTGGCATGTAGCCCATCGTCCTCATGCAGTTCCCCAGGTCTTTACAGCCAATAAACCCATCTTTGTCTTTGTCAAACTCCTTGAAAGCCTCACGCAACTCTAAAATGAAATTAAATGTGGCATAAATGACTTGAGAAGATTTTTTTAAAAATTCAAATTGATTTGCAGTTTTTATGTTTTAGTTAGAACAACATACCATCCATTTCCTCTGGCCTCAGCTCTCGGTCCTGTGGGGGATCACAATGCAAGGTTAGGATCCAAATACTGCTGACATCTTAAAAGTCATGCCAATACCCAGCATTCCTTACACAACATGACACTGTGAAAAATAAAGGAAAATTCCAGGCATGTGCCAACCTTTTTCAGGTTTGGGTCCAACTAGACAGAAAGAGCTCACCAAGTGTGATCACACAGTGAAGAAAACAAGCTGAGTTTTGGCAAACTGTTTCACAATTTGGCATATGGATCAAAGAGGCACACTAAAGTAGTAGATATATGACAGATTGTGATTTCAGTTCTTGAAGGGGGGAAACCATTTCTGCCATTTGTTAGTGTGCAGTGAAAAATGTTTGCCAATAATAGTAAGTTTGCATTTTGAAAATCGGCAGGGATGCTAAAGATAAGAAAGCTCCTTTATCTGCCATTCTACTGACTGAAGTGACTCAATCTCAATCACCATGTCTGTCAACAAGCACCATCTAGGAGGCCACCATCTACACTAAAGATTTCAGGATCTCTGTTTATATTAACAGCAAGAGTGGCTTGCTTCATCTCCCTCTGGAAACAGGCAAAAATACATTTTAACAGACTGTGATGATGTTCCATCAACATGTCTCCCATTTTTCTATAAATATCCACCATATATTTGCACAATTCATCCAGCCTGATACTTTAATGTATACAACACGCATTCAACCACACGCACACATAATCTTTGGCTAAAATTTCCCACGATTTCTCCTCCCATGATGAGTCTAAAATACCATCCTCCATGCACTGCCGCTCCTCCGAGCTTTTGCAAGGTGCTGATGTTAAATGAGAAGGTGATCAATATTTATGTTGTCGTGATGGGTTTTGATTGAAGTGCATGAACCACATGGTGTGCTATTTTTGCTGGCATGCATTCACATGATATTGTCTGGACTTACGTACAGCCTGCCGGCTCTCAGCGAAGCCCTTGCGTAGAAAGATGCATGCAGGACCCAGCACGTTGTGCATGTTGGCTCCGTTCTGGGCCAGGGCCACTAGTGGCTCAAGATAGGCCCCCCCAGATCCCCCCTCCTCACAGGACTGCACTGCTTTGTAGTTCTTCTTCTGGTCCTGGAGCAGCATCCAGGGTGAAGGGCCAGATGTCGGAGTGGAGGCAAAGACAGGGGTAGAGACTGTGACTCAGTTTGTTGAGGCATGGTGTCAACAAGGAGCCAACATGGAGTCGAGAGGAGGGAAGGGTTCAGAGGGCTGACTGGCAAGTTTGTCAGTCAAAGACAGGTGTGGGTTCGGGTTAGTCATAGTAGGGAAAGGAGCTTAGTCTGACAGAATAGGGTGTGTCATGACAGAGCAACTCATGCCATCCATGAATCCATCCTTTGAGTCATCTCAGCAAAACTTCACATGACGTCTAGCACACAATGCCAGAGATGGAATTTAGTACAGATCCATAAACCTTCTTTGTGCTGCAAATCAATAACTATTGACTCTTCAGTCCTCTAAAAGAAGGATTTCATGCCTCTTTGAAACTCATCACAAAATGTGTTTTTTATCTGTGGAGATTTGGTCCATCTTTCTAAGCATAATCTAAGCAACCTTTTCTCTCTAAATGAACTGGATTAATACAAAAATTACAAAAATTCTAACTACATTAACTACACACTACTCACAGTTTGCACAGTTTTACTTGCCAGTTCAGATTTAATCTTCTCTTGTTATGCCGCTGTTCCCTCTGCTGTGAGGAGCCATTATGGTCACGGTGAGATAAAATAGCTTAGACACTGATTAAATCTTGACTTGTGACTTCAGCTTTTCAGGTCTCTGCTCTGCATTTAGTACGAGAAATACTATCACCATACTGTACATACTGTTGAAGTAAACAGTTTATCTAAAACAAAAAAACAATTTATGCCTCATCATGATGCAATCGAGATTGATCAAAATAATTTGCAAAATAATAATAATTTATCAAAATAATAATTAGGGGGGCCACTGCAATTGTACGTTGCAATTTTCTGTGTATAAATCTGAAGTCTTTTGGTGACCACCTCTGCAAGCATGAGTCTCTATTTCTCCACAAGTGATGGGTTTTGTCTTTTTATCTTTTGTGTTAGTGCACATTAAAACGTAGTTATGTTTGTCAGATGAAGTTGAAGCAAAAGTTTAACCAAGCATTAAATTATAATGACCAATTAGCCAATTAACCAGAGGGCAAAGGATGTCACTGCACCCAGCCCAATTACTAAAAAGAGCGATAGGTTAATTAAAGACGGACAGTCACTGACTGCCAGAGCCCCTTACATTTTAAAGCGATGTTGGTAGCCAAATGCAACTCAAAAGCACACGTTAGCAAACAAATTCTGTGCACTGCACTTTTATTCAAAATTGTTTTCATCCCTTATTCCTTTAAAATACAAAACATTTTTCCCATTCTGCAGAAACAATGTGACATCTGACTATGCAGGATCATCCTGGAACAACTAAAGCAAGTGGAGAGGATCAAGTATCTCATCAAATTCCCTGCGCTAACAATCTCTGAGCTTGTACCATCATCACCGGCTTCATACAGTGGATTATAAGACCTTTCAAAAATACTTGGTAAAAGTATTTCTACTTGTGCTGTATGCTGATTTACTTTGCAAATGTACTTACTTCACAACCCATCTGTTACCAATTCTAATTCCAGTTTGTGCATTCGTACTATTCTAGCTACAGGATCAGATGCCCAGTGGGTAATCAGAGCAAGTGATGCATATGAGTAGGGCTGTCCATGGCTACATCATGCCGGAAAAGTGCAACGAAGCCTCATGCTTGTGGTTATATAACATTAAAAGAAAACAGAAAAGAGAAGTCTTTCAGACAGAAGTCAAGCAAGAACCTCTGCAGCATTCCAACCCACTTTGAACAGATGGCATCAACAGTTGCTTGTCATATTGTGCTTCCTCAAGGATGTGCAGCTGCTGATATGAAGGATATGCTATTTGTGTGTCTGAGAGCCCATTGAAGCTTAGACTAATATGAAGAGGACAGCAAGTCTAGGAAATGAATTTCTAAAATAGATGGTTCATACACTCTTGAGGGCGCAATGCATGTGAACCCATAGAATCTACGGAGATGCTGCACCTGTTTGCTCCATCTCCACCAACGGATATCTAGCAGGTGTATGTTCAAGTATATTCTGATGGCTAATGATGCAGGATTCATGCGCAAACAAGGTTTGGAAACATGAACCGAAGTCACAGATGCTGTCAACAGATATAACGTAACCAGCAGTCGTTTGAATGCAACCATGCTCTAATCAGCCATATGTTTTCAGAACATACATGCATGATGCATCTTAAAGAACAACAAGTTAGTTGAACATACGCTCGGTTATTCTGTCATAAGCCTCCAGTGTGACTGTAAGCTCCAGAAACACAAAAGACAGTTCAACACTGCCTGGTGGCCAAATGTCCAACAGGACGGAGGGATCAGTCAGGAAAGATTCAGTCAAACGCAGGAGCCACTGGTCCAGTTGGGGACACACCATTACACAAACATGCACCGGGAGTCAGGGGAGTCAGGGAGAGCACAACAGGGTTAAAAATCCTTGAAACGGAGCTTACCTTCTTGGTGAAAATTTTGAGCGACTTTACCGAGTTTCCCATTGCAAAAAGTCATCGACAAAAATGCTTTTTTATGTTTTCTCCCTTAACGTGCTAGTTTGCCCATATGTAAGCGTATGTGTGTGCATGGGTAATTGCATATGTGTTTGCGTGGCATGCATCTGAATAGGAGTCATTAGAAAAGAAAGACAGAGTTCAGTGGGTCATTGACTGATGCAAGAAGACATTTAGGAAAAGAAAGAGGGACCATAGGATATGGAGGGGAGGACAGATGGGAACATACAAAGGAGTGTGCAGGGCAGGAAGAACCAAAGAAACTGGACAGTAGAAGGGAATGGAAGCTACGACGAAGGAATAAAAATCCAAAAAGAGATGAAGGAGAGGTCAGAAAGAAGAGGAAGCATGCATGTGATGAGCGCAAGATGCAATTGCCAGAAGTGGAGAGGCAGGATTGCTTATTCATCCCATCCTCTTGCCTACAATATCTTTGCTTCCTCCCTCCCTCCCCTTTACCCTCTCTATCTCTCCTTGTGTGTCCGTCAGTCTGTCTTTTGCTCTTTTTCCCACACCATCCATCTCCAGCCAACTCTAGTTTTCTACCATCTCTGCGAATGTGACAGAAGAGGCTCATTCGGACAAGCGTATTACCTTCCCCTGAGCAAGGCGCTGGAGACACTAATCCAAAAACGTTCACACACACACAAACACTCACATTACTTGACTAAACACACTTGGATGTGGGGCTGTAGTGCTAAAAATATAACATGTACTCCCCCCTACTACCACCACCACCCCTCCCTCCCCACTCTACCACCAGCATCCATCCCCCTCTACATAGAGGCGTCACAAAGTCATGCTAAGCTTGAAGGGGTTTGGATTCAGATCAAAGCCAAAAATGTGCAAGAAATGACACGCGGACACGAGCCACAATGCTGCCGGACGCTGACCAGCACTTGTAAATGCAAACACACACAGACGGGCAAAGTAAATTCAATTCATTCATTCAAACAGGCTCTAAAGGACAAGTTTGCTCTTGAGCACATTGACTATATATGGATCATCTCTACTAATACTATCAGATATGTATTTAAAAGTACACTTGTTTTTGTACATTACCTTGGAGCACTGTGGTATTTGATACTTTTATGGTGCTCCAATCTCAGCATCATAAGCATTCATATTTTACTGTTTCATGAAAATTATTTTGTGCATCTTGAGTTTAATGGAATGATTCCAGTTTGTTATAGCCACCTCTAAATGTATGGGAGAATAGCCACTGAACCTTTAGTAGATGACTGTTGTCCTTTTGTGGTTTGATGTAAGATTCCAGCTGCAGGACACTCCTGGGTATTTTCAGTTTTTGAAAGCCTCTGGACTATCGGGACAACCTTGAACTTTTCTATTACAAGCCACAATGTAGAGATTTTTTAACTGAGCACTGATTGTTCTGATGGTCCCTTTTATCTGTAGTCTGCAGGATGAAGCATCAATTATTTAAAAAAATAATTGTTAAATATTCACATTCCTCTGATTACAGAAAAATGTTGTATTTGGTCTCATATCACTTTAAATTAAATTTTAACAAGAAAAGACAATTCGTAAAAACATTTTTTTCTATCCAAGAAATCATAAAGTAATATCCCACGTTAGTAGTTGGCATATGTACATGCCTATGTATTGTATGTGATATATATGAATTCGTTTTTTTAAAAAAGTAATCAAGTCAAACTCTTCACACAGATTGTTCTGCATAGTGAAGGTCAAGCATCCTCTATTGTGTCTAAAACAAACAAACGTATCCAGCTAAGACTCCTTTTTTAAAGTTTATACCAGCAGCATGCCCATATGTAACGTCAGCATCAGCCGCTGCAGCATTAATGCACATCCATATTCTCCTCATTTGTTCGAGCATGTCTGTTCTCAGCTATTTTAACAAACACATTCACGCAGAAGTTGTTTCAGATCTCGCTCCCGTTCACTATCTGTGCGGCTCCTCTGTGTTGCTCTTTGGATGATTCATCCAGTCTCTCACCGGAGGCTCATTGTGAACTTCAGAACACATCAGACGTTAGGCACAGGAGCCGTCAGCTCTAATAATGTCACACCATAGTGTGCACGGGCATGATTTCCATTCCTCTCTCTGAGTATTGCTGTATCCTTTTCCGTCTCGCTCGCACATTAACTCACTCACTCAGAAACACACCATGTCTATTTTACATAACCGCTCGGACATTGCATGCTGAAAACATCCTGCTGTGAAATTCGCATCAGATGATTACTGAGCAACATTTCTCGTATACGTCAATAAAGTACGAAAGTGACCGATTTTTGCATTACAAAAAATGACATGTTTGAAGAAGAGAGAAAAGTAGATAATTAGCTTTCTCATTCATTAGAAATGTCAAGGTCTGTTTTCTCCACAGCCACCAGCTGTTTTATGTCCCCTTTCCTGTGAGTAATATGGTCAAATGGATTCAATTCTCACATTCTCATCAACTTTTTAAAGTCAAGATACTAAATTTTGTAGTCATGAAGCAAGACTTCTTTTCATTTGATTTCAGTGACCATAGACTTGTAAGGATGCCTTTGCCCTGCATGACCTTCCTCTAAATCGGCTGTATCACCATGATTCCTAATTCAAAGACAAACAAATAGATGCTGTGACCATGAAATGCCTTTTGAGCGCACGATTTCATCATTAGAAGAGGCGGGGGAGAAAGAAAGATTTGCGTCATCTTCTTGGGCTTGGAAAAAGACGTCACACATTTATCCTGCAGCTGATGAATCCATTCCAACCAAATTGAGTGCAAGTATCAAATTTCACGCTGGATGTTGTAGCATTGTGACTGAACTTGTGCTTAAGAGCAGGAAAAAAACGTTGAAAGCTCAATTCACTGCTTTTCAGTTAAACTCTCTTAACTTGTCCTCTGGCTCTTTCTGTTCATTTTACAGTGATACCGTCTATCTTTCTTTCCCAGCTTCGGTTCTCTGTGTGTATTCAGCACCAGTACATCCCTTATGTTGCAGTTTCGCTCATGGGCTCTAATCCTCTTCTCAAAAAAAGGGAGGGTTTAACCAAAAAAGAGACGTTTTCAGCCATCATCTCTGCCAGCGCCAATGTAAAAATACCCATATTAATCTAAAAATAGCCTACTATACTTCACTCATCCTCCAGCATATGCTGGCGTAGAATGCAAAAGTACATATTACTAAATCTACTTACATTCACAGATCCTACCTTTTTTCTCAGAAGGACTTTTTTTCCTTCATTTATTTTATCAAGGTCAGTGTGACCCAGGCAACAGAAAAAAAGGGAGGGGAGAGAGATTTTGTAAAAGAAAAAGAAAAAAAACGGGATGAAAGAGAAGCTGAAAGCAAGCATTGGCCGAGACTACAAGGTGATTAAGAAAAATACTCAGTGGAGTATGGAGGTAATCTGCCTTTCCTCACAGTCTTTAAAGTTGCCAAAAGCAAAGGCTGGGTACTGATGGCTGAAGAGCCAGATCTTCCTATTTCATCTCTTTGTCTTTATTTTTCCCGTCCCCACGCTTCATCCAGTTTCTTCCCCTTACATGACACACAATGAACTGTTGTCACCCCACAACTCCCTCTCGGCACACTGAGAGTTCAAACCCATTAGCACAGTACTTGCACCCTCTGCTGGACAAAACCAATGTCCTTTCATTTAAATCACATAGAATATGAACAATTTTTGCACAAAAGATAACAGACCTTTCTCAATGCAGCAACACCAATGTCGCGTGCAAGCATGTAGAACAGAGTTCCTCAAAATCAGAAATGAATGTCCATGCTTCTGTTTCATCCTTCCTCAAAGTGTGTGTCTTAGATATAAGATATCACATTAAAAAAAGGAAAGTTCCATGACATGTTGTAACACAACCTAGTCAGCAAGCTAAAAAAACACATCAGCTTCTTTGCCTGACCTCCCAATGGGCTTGTTTCTCATCGTGACTCATTGTGTAAATTTGAAAATTTGGATTACAAACTTGCGCCTCGGAGCACCATATCTGCCAACGTTTAAAAGCAGTTCTGTGATTCAGAAGCTAATCTAATCGATTCTGTCAGGTTGCATGTTTGCTGCGATCTTTGAATATTGTGCAGGGAAGGAAAAAAAAGAACACTGCTGTGCTCCACTCTCTCATAACCAGGTCTTGACAGACTATTTTTAGCTTCTTCTACTCGCGGCAAACGAGTTCTGTTGGGATTGTATGCAGATCTTGATGTTACGTAAGAAAGCATAAAATAAAAGAGGTTGCACACTCTGACATGATACTGCTAGGTCTATTCAGAGTGCAAACGTCACTTCCGTATCTCATATCAATAACCTTTTGTGTTATTTTTCCTTTATTGTCACACATGAATCACTCACTCTGCCTTAGATGCTTGTTTTTTCTTTTACACATTCATGCAAACTCTTGTTCACTCATAAATTCAGCTCCACTATGAGCAGCTGAATCTGAATTGACTTGACTTCTCAGTGACATTGCCACAGAAAGCAAGCAATGTGCGCTTTATAATTGGGTGATTTTAGATGCAATTCATAGATCTAGTGCAACATTTTTAATGGAAGTTAGTAATCCCGTGTCCTTGATGGCTCATAGTAACATACACCAGATCATTTTAGAGCTCTAGAAGCATATGCAGCTCATGTTGGCACATATCTCTCCCTGTTTCTGGAATCAATGAATATCAGCCATCCCTGATGCACTGTAAAGAAGTCAAGTGTTTTCATTTCATTCGATGATTAATGGATGTCATAAAACAGTAAAGTATCTCTCGATTCCATACACACAAGAAGCTATGCATATACATATACAGCACACCTCAGCATGGTTTTACCCTCACTGGAACCCCCTAAGACTGACATAAGCTTTGGCCTGGATTCAGAGAAGTTATTTCTGGAACATATTAGAGCACATGGAAGTAATTGTCTCCTCTTGAGCTTTTTATCATCGACACAAAAAGAGGGATTTTAGTGTAACAGGAAAAAGACAGGGCAGGAGAGGGCTGGGGTGAAGTGGGGATGGGGTAAGACAACCGACTGTGCTGCTGAGTGATGTGTGTAGAAGACCAGTTGTTCCTTCTCTGGCACACAGTATACGAACGTTTCTCTTTTATTAGTGTGTTTTGTAAAATGCATCCATTTATTGTTTTTATTTTTTATATGTTTGAGAGCACGTGAGCGTAAAGCTCTCACCTTGGAAGCATTTTCCACACAGCGGGTAAGCCGATCCCCTGCTGTTGCTCGGGTGACAGTGACAATGACAGCCACTGCATTCATAACAGCGCGCGTGAAAGTAATGGATACTAGATACATACAGGAGTCAGATTTGAACTGAAAACAAGCATTCATTTTTAATGTGCTCCACTGGCCAGTTCATACTTTTATGGGTTTCAGCTCCACCTGGAGTTAACCTGAGAACGTCTACCTGGTGTAGAGTAACTAGTAAATTCACAAAGCCTCCTGGACAAAGAGTGCTGCAAAGCCAAAGCAAAATCCTTTTTTATGATTACATCTTTGTCCTGTTTTTCTGTATTAAGTTTACATGGCATTCCAATTGATGCTCTAATGACTACTGTCCTCACCTAAGAGCTCTACTAACATCCCTAAAAGCACCCAGGTGGAGAATTTTGAATTTAATTCCAAAATCCTTGCAAACTCTTGCTGTATATAATGCCATGATGGGGACAGTGAAATACACTTCTGGTGCACTCATGTAAGAATCCCATTGGAAAGAGACCAAAATCCTGCATTGTGTGGCACCACTTAATATCAAAGACTTAAGTTGCTCTTCACAAAGCTTAAAGATTTCAGAAGCAAACTATAGCTTCGACTCTTCGGTTGTTTTCACACAGTGACTCTAACAGAAAAGCTGAGTTGAGTTTTGATTTAACTTTTAAAGGTGTTTTAACCCTAATTCCCTGTCTCCCCCTCCCCTTACCTGTCCAAAGACTGACTTTACTATGGGATGGAGGCTGGAGTCGTTCTCGGAAGCTGTGCTCAGTCTTTTGGAGGTGCGACTCGGCTTGTGGAGTGCGCTGGCCGCAGGTGGGTCAGAGCTGAGGCTGGACGTGGACCCGCTGACCACTCTCTCGCTGGGCTCGAAAAAGAAAGACGCGTCGTCCGGGTGTTTTGGGCTGGGTGGAGTTGGCGAGGCCCTCCTGTCCTGCCGGGAGCCTCTCTGGTGATGGGCTGCGAGAGGCTGCTCACTTTGAGATGAATCGTGGTGGTGATGGTGGTGGTGGTGGTGGTGTTTGGACCTAGAGGGCTCGTTGCGCTCCCTCTGGTGCCTGGTCCCGGTCCGGTGCCTCGCGTCCTCCTCAGCATAGCCATCGTCCAGGTGACCGGGCTGTCTTCTCTGCGCGCGGTGATGGTCACTGAAACTCCGCGCGTCGGCGTGCCTCGGTTGGCACAGGGGTCTCCGCAGGCTGGTCTCGCAGTCCTCCGCCCTGGATGCATCCCCGCTGCCGACGGGATGGTGAGGGGGGGGAGGATGAGCGCGCTGGCTCCGGTGACTGTGAGGACCGGGGACCGTCTGCGCAGACCTGCGCTGCTGCCCCGAGGAAGTGCTGGACCCGCTCTTGGGCAGAGGAGAGCTCATGGTTTGCCTCCTCGCGCTTGAGAGGGGAAGTGAGGCTGGCGAGGTGGATGGGGCTGAGGTGGGTGAAAAGAAGGCAGTCCTCCGCAGACCTGCAGGTGCTCAGCCTCACGCAGATGATGCCCTCGCTTTAATCTGCATCCGCATGCTCGACCATCCCTGGACAGTCCACGGGGATCGGGTTGGAGCAGCAGCAACCTGATCTGGCACGAAAAGAGAAGTGCTTTCTGAACGTGGCAGCAGGCGGCCAGCCTGACACCCCCCGTGGGGAGGGGTGCGGGGGGGGGAGGACTAAGCAAAGTTTGGATGATAGGCAGCACTGTGTTGCGCAGCAGTGTGACACACAGTGCACGCACGAAGTTCACCATGATACGTCACAGCCTTTTCAAATGATTGCTTGTGTAATGTGCTGCTGAGAAAACCATTCTCCTTTTCAGTTTGATAGCATGGTGAAGACATCAACTCTAAAGAAATGAGCATTTGTTGACTAGTTGATCTATAGATAGTGGTTATTTTCAAATCTGCTTTTGCAATGCGTCTCTTCGTCATACAGATCTCATTCTTAAAAATCCCCTGTTGTCACAGATGCTTCTTCAGCTTTCTGTTTAAAATCTGATATTTCAAGTACTGGGGAAAAAAACTTCTGCAATAGGCCCAAGCAAAACAGACTAACATATGCATACAACTTCAGGCACAGCTTTTTACAGGACCACAGAAACATGGGGGCGTCCTGACCTGTTGAGCTGTGGTAAAATCCCCTTTTCTGAATAAACAGCAGCATTCCAACACAGTGGTATACCAACACGAGAAAACGAGTTTGAGATGTTTAGACTAAGATTCAGTACTTCCCATAATCTTCAACATCACCTCAGAGTCAAACCAAGGCTCAAACTCATCCAATCAGCTCTCAGAAATCATCTCAAACAAACCACTTAGCTCATTTGTAAATGAATAAACAAACAAATAAATGATACAAATTTGCCAATCAGCAAAACTGAAATGGAAAAGTGGCTGAAATCTTCATCCATCTGCAAAACACGAGATGTGATTCTGTCAGCAGATGTCCGGGGATGGAGGGCAGAGATAATAATGTCAATAACTTCAGCCAATTAGACACGGAAGCTTTCATTAAATATGTTTCTAGGTTTCACAAAGCAAAGTGAAGAAATTAGCAGATTTTTCCCTCCTCTCTCAGGGGAAAGTTTGTTCTCTGACATCTGTGTCTCCTCTGCTCCAATGAGAGAGGCAAAGTATCATCACTCCAGTGCACTCATTCCCACCTCAACGGTGGCATGCTTCAACTGCTTTGTTACCTTTTCAGCCCGGGTGATATCTCATCAAGTGCAGGCACGTATCACTATGCTGACACTCTGCTACTCTGTGCAGGCCGTGTCAGGTAATGCCCACAATTATTATGAGCTTTGCTCATAATTCTTATCTTGAGCTTACTCTAACTGTCTGACCCAGATGTGGGAATCTATCAGTGTATAAGTAATTAGCATTGTTTTATCAGTGTTGTTCTTCGTGTGCCCCTTCCTCTTCCTCATCCCCCTTTGGTAGGCTGAGGTCTGCAGCAGGACACGTTCGTGCCTCAGGTGGCAATATGGCCCACTTATTTTTCACAGACCCACAGAAGCAGTTTTAAAAACAACATGTGGTGAGCAGAAGCAAAACATATAAAATAAATACATGGCAAAAGGTTCTTTCAGCTTCACTAAAAATGTGATACTGGAAATTAATTTTTATGTATGGAAGTAAATCCTCAGTCTCAGCAAAAGGATTTTTATAATGAATATAATTTAGAAGTGGCCTTTTCAAGTAAGGATTGTATATTGATATTGAGTATATTTGGAATTATTAAATAGATTTTGTGTGTGAGCCATTGCAGCTTCTTATACTCGGACAAAAGACTGGAGGTGAAAACTATCATGAATGATTTTGTTTTGTGTGAATAAACGAGCAAATGGTTGTTGAAAGCCACCACATAAGGAAATAAAAGGATTACATTCTGCACAGTCAAAATATTTCTAGTCTACTGACTTGTTTTTCTTCCAGATAGGTTTGCTATCCATGAGTTTAATTTTTGGAAATATCTTGCCTCCATATTCACCCTATCCCTTGGCACAATTTGGTAGTCCTAAACCTTTAATGAACAAAGTAAATAATTAACTTAACAGCAGCTTGGGAGCAGCAACATGAAGAATACGCTCCCTCATCTAAATCATCAAGCATTTTGTCCACTTATATAATGACTGAGTTCTTTATTGGCCCTTGAAATTGATACAAAAATAAGGTTCATAGCTTCACATCAAAGTAATGCTGCAACTGAAGGACGGAGTATAAAGACATAGAGCACAGAGGCTGAGATGGTTTGATTGGCCCCTTCTGGCTGCAGTCCAACCATCAAATTAACTACGGAACCATCCATCCAGGGCTACACAGAGACACACAACCATACACACACACACACTCTCCTGAGGGCAATTTGGAATCTCCAATCAACCTTACGTGCAGGTTTTTGAACTGTGGGAGGAAGCCAAAGAAACTGGAGAGAAACCCACCCAGACACATGGGGAACATGCAAACTCCACACAGAAAGGTCCTGGTTTCCCCTGGGACTAGAACCCAGAACCCTCTTTCTGTGAGGGGACCACACCACCATGCCGCCCACTATGGAACCATTGGAAGGACATAAAATAGGAAGGTTCTAGTCCAACCATTTATCATGTGACTCTATTTTTTGGTTTAAACCTTGTTAAAAGTGCTGAAATGGTAAATGAGCTGTAATTACATAATGCTTTTTTAAAAATCTACCTGCCCACTTAAAGGGCTTTTCGCACAACCTGCCATTCACTGATGGACGCAGTGGAATATAATTAGATTTACTTGATATGCTTTCTCACACCTCCTTAGCTTGGAATGGACGACTGTCAAACTCAGTCTGATTGAGGCCATGTGCCTCACGTCCAATAAGTCAAGTGTGTTTTGCTGAGGGGGCAGGACACAGCTGCCAGTAATCAAGAGGAAAAAATTTACTGAAGCGAATAATTACTGCAGGGAAAATTATAATGAAAACCCTATGGATTTCCTTACCTTAACCAAGTCATTTTTACCACGTAATCCTTACTGAACTGTTTTCTAATTCTGTGTGGAAAAAACAAAATAAAAGGGACTGAGTTTTTTACTAGTTTACTAGCATGACAAAAATGTGGAATCAAGAGAATGGACACAAATTATTACACAAAGAGGAAGATATTATTTGGCTCAAAAGTGGTAAAACCACCATTTTAGATCAGTGTTGACAAGCAGATGAAAGCTTGGGGTGGGGTGGGGGGTTGGGGGTAGATTAAATTAATCACAGAGATGATCATTTACCCACCAGCTCTTCCTTGGTTTGTTAAGAGGTAGCCTCTTTTAACTCACTCCATCCCCCGATTAATCACCATCCCTCAGTCACTTCCTCAGCTTTGGCGTCTCAACTCTCAGCTTCATTCATTGGCTGTCATGAGTGAAAAGTAGCACATCAGAGCCTTTCATTTACCCACTCACCCACAGTGTGAGCGCTTTGAGTGCATGGTCACAGGAAATGCGCGACATAAATGCTGCCTTTTCCATCAACTGTTGTGTCAGTCTTTTGGCTCTGACCGTTCTTATCAAACTCTGGTTTGTTCATTGTCCTATGCATTCAGCCCCAGTTTCACCCAATCAGGACTAATCCGCAGATTCACATGCTCCATTGACTCTAACTGGCTGTGGCCAGCAATAGTAGTATCAGAACTGTACACGAGGAGACATGCAGAGAAGCAGCACAATCATTTGTGTGGCTATGGAAGAGAACAAGAAAGCCTGTTGTAAGGGATGAGTTTGCTATGAGCTATACTTACCAATACCCAAAAATTCAAAGTGGTTACTGGGTAGATACCAAGTGTTTAATTTGAGTGAGCAGACTTGGCTTTTTGCAACTTGTAAGAACAGACTACCTTGGTAACACACTGCCACACCGCCTCAGTCCAAAAAAGCATCGAGCCAAAACAGAGAGTTTGCATCTGAAAGCGTCTTTCAGTTTTGAAAAAAAAAAGAAAAAGAAGTGGGCTCTGAAAAGAAGAGCAAGGTTTATTCTTTGGAAGAGAAATTGGATCTTTGCCCAGTACACACATCTTTGGCACTGACTCCCATGCGCTGAGGAACCACAGCAGTCAACTGGCACAGAAAAAAATCTGACAGATTTCTGAGAAGATTGACTGTTAGAACAACCAAATCACTTTATGGTTAGACTTGTGACAGTCTCTCACGTGTAATGGTTGACTTTTTTATTTTAAGACAGGAACATGTTTGCCTTTTTGTCTTTTCTTTTGAAAAAACAATTATTTTTCAGGGCCCTGTGGTGGCTTCATTGAGTGACTTCTTTAGGTCATCTGTCATGCAGCTAATTGTAATTCACTTTTTCTTTTATTGTTTTGGGGAACTTGAATGATAGATATGTACAATGTTTTAAACTCAGCATACCTTTACCTTGAAATGCAGTGTAAAAGCGACATAGGAAGATTTGTTACAGATATGTTATAGAACTTTCAGTCGTAAGCTTAACATGTTGCAAATCTTTGTTTAGGTTAACATAGACTGATGCCATTTGTTTTTTCTTGCTTACTGCGATTTCCATGATAGTAAAAAAAAAATGTGATTATCTAATGGTGGAGAGAAAGTAAATTGTTGTCTTTTGTTAATCAAAAAGTAAGGAAGCAGAGCATACCTCATGTTTGTGTAACACCCCCATTTTGTTTCCTGTTATTATGCCATGAAGTGCTTCCATGTAGATTCCAAGACAGGAGGATGATTGAAGAAGGAAAAAACAGCTTTGCTATGGTTTCCAAACATGGGTGTCTTTGCAGACAGATTTCAGAACAAAAATGTGTGATGACAACTATACAGCAGTAGAATTGTATTGTGAACTGCTGGTGGTCACATAAAGTCATACTAGCTGCTGTACTTTGTTTTCACAGACCAAACTATGATGGAGTCAATGCACTCAGAGTTTGGAAACTTAAAACATTCTAAACTGATATGATGGAACAGCTGTTGAAGTCAGCTTTGTTGCTTGAATTTTTTTGTGTGTGTGTATCCTGTAAGACTCTGATGTTTGCTGTCAACCAGAGAAAAAGAGATTTACTATTCAACTTGTCCAGACATGAAGGAGAGTTGATTCTGGGATTCAATGGGTTTCTTCACTTTGTACTTTTAAAAGGCGTTTTGGCGGATTGACAGGCCCATAATGTCTGGCCATGCCACAGCAGAACTGGATGATGTTTCCTGCAAACATATCATGGATTTCACAAAGTTCAAGGTTTCATTTGTTTGGTTTCTTTGTTATACAAACGTTGCAGATATATTGTGATACAGTGTTTTTCTGCTTGATAGTGGAAATAACTGATATGCTTTTAATACAAATGAATAGATATTTATAGGTCTAAAAATAGTTGTCATATTCATGATGATTTCTAGACCAAGTCATTTTTTTTATTTAGTTTTGTCTCGTTCTTAATTCTGTATGAAAACACAATAACAAAAATGGGTTTTGAGGTATAAAAACTAATCATTTAAAAACAAACAACAGCTAAGTGTGTCAATAAATCTGTGGTGATATATATTTAATCTGATCCTTAACTACTGTGAAATAAGAAATGTCATAAATCTAATCCAAAGATTTTAAGAATATATCTTCCTGTCCCTTTTATTACATTCTTAATAGGAAATACATCATAAAGTAAGCTATGATTTCCCCCAAAACTGTGGTTAATGATACTGTTAAACGCTAATTGTTAAAAAGTGTTGCATTAATTTGTACGCTTTTCTTGATCATCTCTTTACATATATCTCAATATGTATAAAGATGCAATATAGATGCAATATAGATTTATTAGTCCTGTGTTTCACCATTCTGTCCTGTTTTTTTGTTGTGCACGACAGATTCAGTTTAAAATAGTTCCAGATAAATGAATGCATGAGACAAGAAAAGGATTCAGAATTATTTCAACGCCCCATCTGTAAGCTTTCAAAGGATTTGTCAAAAATTATACAATCAAACGCATATGAAAAAAATGGCAGCATAGCTCTCCTGAAGCATGTAAAGGTAGAAGACCGCAAAAAAGGTTAAAAAAGAAAAGGAAGAGAGAACATTTGGCTGTAAAGGTACAGTACTCACAAAGGATGCAAATTTGAATGAACAGGGGCTGGCAGTATGGTGAGTAGGGGGGCTGGTATGACTCAGGACGGCCAAATGAAATTCTATACTATTTATAGAAGCGACCTACACTATAGTATCCTTGCAGAGTATTCTCCTACATTCTCTCTGTGTTCCTACATCAACTGAAATCAAAACACATGACACAAGTGTCTCATTATTTACTGTCTTGTAGTAGTTAAAAATAAAATAACCCTCTCAACGCTCAGGGCAATCACACCTGGAAGTGCCCTGTATATGCATATATATGCATATCAGTCTTCTTTCTCCTCTAGCTTTGCACAAATTAACTTTTACTGTTCATACAGTTCCGTAATTTTGTCACAATAGGAAAGCCTGTGATCTCTTAATTGCAATTATAATTGCAACTATAACTGGTAATTGCAACTATCATCTTAATTACCGAATTTCCCCTCAGGAAAAAATAAAGCAATCTATCTATTAGCTGTTCATTTTACTAACATCTCTCTGGGAATTACAGGAACCAGAATGATAAAACAACAATAAAACACATACAGATAATTACATGGTATGAAACCTGCAGCAAAGTCACCCCTTATCATTTTGGTCACAGCTTTGGGAAAATATGCACCATCTCCCTCTTGTGCTGATGTTTTAACAAACCCTTGTGCAGTGCATTTGTAGCCCCACAATATTCTCTCTGACCACACTGTCCAAATCACATGTGTTATATGGCACAATAAATATACTGCTCATATGGTTTATGGTATATTTAGGTGATTTAGCTTTGAAGCCAGCTTATAAACCACAAAGTAGATATTTAAAGGTAGAAAATGAAAACTTAATAAGAGGCTAAGTTAAATTAACTTTATCATGGAGCCATGAGACTCGTTTCACTCCATATAATGTCAAAGAAATATCAAATACCATATCCTTGTCCTTTTAAGAGCCAAACACTAAATCAATGTTAAGGCTCGGCAAGAACCGAACCCCTGTAGCGAATAAACAAGGAGGGAACTTCTGGCTGTCTTGAGGTGGCACGCCATCGTTTATTCTCCCTGATGTAGGGACGGAACACAAACTAAACCAAACACAGGAGGCCTGCAGAGCGAGGATAGCAGGATATGGAGAGCGTGGGGGCAGGGAGCCATGAAGGCACGCTGGGGCCAAAAGGATTATGCAAAAAAAAGTTAAACACTGTACGCCGGGGCAAAAGATACACAATGCAAAAGCCGTCAGTCTTAGGAACTGGGCTTGAGGTTACCACACAGGTTGTACATCAGAGCACTGACAATAGGTCAAGATCCCAGCGTCCTTAAGAAGGCTCCCCAGGTTACTGGCCACAGGTGTGCTGAACTGAAGGGTCATTGGCCGGACACACCTGCGACTGTGCACCTGGGCAGGGAATCCTGGCTCTCTGCCCAGCAACAATCAGGCTTTTTTTGCCAAACGGGCTACAGGGGTACCAGAATGGCCCGGGGATTATGTGGTCCATTCAGAGCGGCTGAAGCACGGGGAGTTTAGATAAGTCTTTTTGTAAGACATTACCTTGTATTCAGTGCAGTGGGTATTAAATAACTACATGTTCAGTCTTGTTGCCCATCGTTTCTTCTGAATGGGTGTCACCCGGACTGTTTTAGTGTCTGATTTTCTATCCTCCAGCTATGAGTTGATTTTAAGTGAAAGGGTTCAAGCTCGGAGAAACAAGATAGCAGGCATTTTTCATACTTTTTAATTGTGTTGTGATTTAAGAAATCGGTGTACAATATGCACTGAATCAGCACTAAAAAAAAGGGCAAAGATTGACAAAAATACAACTGAAGGAAACAACTGGTGAATGGGAAACAGATGTCACATTGTTTTAAGCTGAAATTCACACAGAGTGTACATAAACATAGCCACAGGCTGTTGTGGCTTAATGAGAATGGCTACCGGACATCAGTGGCATCAAAACACAACCCTGGTCTTTAAACAGTTTAAGCATCTGAAAAGTCTCACTTTGAAACGTCCTGTGGGTCACTGACTCGAAGCTCATATCAGACTAAATAGAGAAGTTAATGATAGATGTTGGGTCATGACAATGGGAGCCTTCAAGAAGCTTGCGGGGAAAAACGTGCGAATGCCCCGGCCTCTGCCCGGAGGTGATACTTCTTTGGAGCTTGCTCCACTGAACCGACTCCAAATCTCTCGGGGATATCGTGACATAGAGACATTTTTTACACGCCGGGTCATCCTATTTTCAGCAGTAATTCCCTTTCACTTCTGAAGAATGGAAGGAAGAGGAGGAGGAGGAGGAGTAAAGCCGCGCTTTGGATAAGCCAGACCTCACTGAGCGCGTGTGCGTCCCGCGGCAGGAGCAACATCTTCTCGGCTCTCCCTTTCCTCACACGGTCCAATGGCTCATTACAAGACTTCTCTGACGTGCTGCTGCATTTTGCTTTTTTCTCTGGTTTGCGCCGTGGGTCTGATCTGCCTGTGCATCGCCACGCTGGTGGATGTGGGATGTCCCGGCGGCTTCAGGCGCGCGGCTGTGGCCGCCGACTCCAAACTTTGCTCCGAAATTGGCAAGTAAGTCACTTCCTCACGGAGTCGGGGAACGTCGGGGATGGAAGTCTTGTGGACAGCCTGTGTTTTCCTTTAGTCAGAGAAACGGATCTCTTATGGGGGAGTTGAAACGCCGAACCGAGCAATGGGATAATCAGTTTAAGAGATTTGAGTAACAGATTATACTTGCAGAACTGTGATATGGCAGACTCTTATTGCCATTTGTTGAATTGCTTCAGGCCACAGTTGTCAGAGGAAAACAAACATCCACTCGTTATTTTTGATGTGGAGTGATACTTTTATTAACTCATGTTTATGTGTATTCGCTGAACAATGTGTAGAAAAGAGGACTCAGTCAATTCCAACACTTCATCAGCACATGGGGAAAAGTATTGTTCTTTTTACTGGCATGTACATAGCTCATCCGGCTTTTGTCTTCAATCAGAGATATTTTTGTTTTATCGCCATGTCCTTGAGGGGTTCTTGCAGTTCACAGCTAAAACAATGAAAAGGTGAAAGTGACATAGAGATGAACAAAGACATCAGGCAAAGGCTCCGGACTGTTGGCTTTTTAATGACCAAACATGGAGTCCACTCTTTTAAAGGAATAAACTGAGCTCAAACCTGGGGGAGCATCAGGTTGTGGTTCTTTCAAAACGAATCATGTTTTGGGGAAAACCCACTGCTTCTCAATCCCCAAATAATTCCCCCTTTTTTTTTAGACAAAATCATATTATGGACCTGAAAGAGTTCAAGCCAAATGTCTGACTTTCAGTGTATATTAGGATCTTTTGAAATTGCACAACACTTTCTCAGCCAGTCACAAATGGACATGATGTCATGTCAATAATCTCTTTTTCAAATATAATCCTGTTTTCTGTTCTATGTGGTTTTGTTTCTTATTAATTAATTTGTCTGCTGGGCTCCTGATCCCTTTTCACTTGTAAAGTTTGCTAAGGTTTGAACAGACCGTACCCTCATTAAGCAAAATAATTCCCAGCTACATTGTTGTTGCTCATGGGGTGCATTGGATCTCATGCCAGCATCAGAGAGAAAAGACCCATTCAAGTCTTTCAGGGACAGCTCAGAAAGCATGTTCTGTTCCTGTTGTCTGGTAAATTTATTTCTATAACTTAATTAAAAGAACATTTAATTACCTGTAAATGATATGATGCTTTGCCTCATTATACAAGTTTGATCACAAGAAAACAAAAAAATGACTGAATAAATAGAAAATGCAGAAGGAACACCTAAACACACACTAACATTATGGTTTTCTGCCAAATGTTGGCTTTCAACAACTAGTTCAAACTTGCCTCTCGGCAATACTCAAACAACGAAACCCCGATGTTTTGGCCATTTGAGAATCTGTGGATTTATGTCTATGGGACGGCAGATACTTGTTGAGTCGTGAGGGAGTCAGTGAATGAATGCAGATTCGCCACTTTCCCATAAATGCAGCTGAAAATATTTTCCAGGAACATCCTCCAACAAGGGGGATCAGCAGTAGATGGCGCCATTGCAGCTCTCCTGTGTACATCCGTGGTCAATCCTCAGAGCATGGGGATTGGAGGAGGCTCCATAGTGGCTGTGAGAAACAAAACAGGTGGGTGTCTTATCTTTACCAGTGTCTTAAGTTGTATTTCCACTCAGAGGATGATAAACCGTCCCGCTCATTCAAAATTTTCATCTCCTTTCAGGCAATGTTACAATCTACAACTTCAGAGAGACTGTGCCACAGTCATTCAAGGCCAACCTGTTAAATGATTGTCCAACTAAGTTTGGACTGTCCACAGGTACGCAAAGTGTCCGGGTAAAACATTATCTCTTAAGGTGTTATTACAGGGACATGTTTTTGTAGTTTTGACACTTCCTCTGTTGAGCCATCCTCTCACAGTCTAGAAGAAAATTAGCTTCAGTGACATGTTTCAGATACCATACAATTACTGTAAACGTTAACCAGGGATCCTTTTACAGTGGATTTTTGTTAAAAGTCTGTATTATTAATTGAAAAATCTAGTCATGCGTTTAGGAAAAGCCAGCACTTCTCTTGCATTCTTGCCTGTGGGCTTTATAGGTTGCTTTTCAGTTGATGGGTCTCTTGTCCCATGTTAGGACATTAACCCCAGTCACAGCTGTACAAAAACATTTGTGCATATAGCTCCAGTCCTGCAATGTCCAGAATGAGTTATTCAGTGGAATAGATTTGAGGTTTTTGAGTGAGAAAGAGGTTAGTTTTGCCTCCCTGGTTAGCCTGTAGATTGGGATACACAAAACAATGAGGCAAATTGACTTGCAGCAACTCAACTGTGACATGTTTTTAATCAATCAGATTGCATTTTATGTAGTCTCTCTTGTTTAGCAATCCCTTAGATTGGGGATAATGATGTGACCCTACCACATATTGCATGAGGTCAAATTATTAAGTTATGATAATACCTTTTAGTTTGATATATTGATGTTTTTGTGCAGATAGTTGTTCTTTAGCAGCAAAAAATTTCAGGTCATCCCTATAGCCAGCCAAAATAAGTAATTAAGTTAGTAAATAAGTAGATTAACATAGTTTTAATCGTTGTTCCCACATTCTTGTAATCAAGCTCCATATTCTCCACCTGAACATCGTAGGCAGCCAGTGGATTGGTGTTCCTGGAGAGCTGCGGGGCTATGAGGCCATCCACAAAAAGTATGGGAGGCTGCCTTGGAACAAGCTTTTTGAGCCAACAATTAAACTCGCAAAAGAGGGCTTCCCCATGCCAGACTATCTAGCAGCTTTCCTGGGGAACATCTTTGTGAAAAACCATGTGGAAAAATCATCTCTGTGGTAAAGCTTTGCATTTGCTGATTACTGACTTAGAGCTTTTTCCAACTCCCTGTCATGTTTTGGGCTTTGTGACTCCCCATTGAGCTTTTATCAAGCTTTAAAATGTGGTTTTAATGCACTGTAAAAATTTGGTTTTAATTTGCTACAGTTTCTATCATTTTTATACAATCCCATTCAATTGACTTGAATGGGATTAGTACTGCATAATTACAAATCCCAGAAACCCAGACTGTTCACCTTCCCCCAGTAACATTTGTTGTGTCCTTTTTATGACAACATCCACATATTAATTAGCCTTCCTCTTTCTTTTGAGTGCTTTCGATCCTGGAAAGTATCTGAGCAAGTATAATCTTTTGATACACTTTGGAGAGGAATTCATTCACCATGGAGAATTACTGCTCGATTGTTTGCAGAGACACCCTTTGTACCCCCTTTATGGCCGGTTGTTAAAAAAGTTTTTGGACACCTTGAACCAAGACCATATAAATTATACAAAGCAGCTTTACACAAAGTTTAACATCTGTCCAGATTGATTATGTGAGTTTATGTTTATGATAGCAGTACAGTAGGATTAATGAATGGATCTTTATTGTCATTGTCACAAGAAACAACGAAATGTAAAAAGAAAAGTGAATATAGTGACAGAATTAGTTGGATAAAACATCACCTAAGAATTTGTTGGATTAACATCACCTAAAGTATCTTTTGATCTTGCACAGAGATTTTGAATCCATCTCCCAATACTAGTATGCTGCCACTGATTGTTGAGGAATAGGAGGACTTATGAACTAGTTACCTGTTTATAGGGCTGTTGCCTGTGTACATTGTGCTTCTGGGAGGCATAAATTTCACAATTTTGAGATCTAAGGAGACATTTGTTCAATCTTTTAGATTAAGATGGTGTAGAGCTGAAGATAAAGGCTCATTAATGTACCATTGTAAATGCAACCAAAGTAGGAGCATGTCTTTAGATACAGTGGTTACAAAAAAGCATATGTGAATCCTTTTATTAACTTTTATTTCTACTTAAGCAAGTTAAAAGAAAGTTCATACAATTGTCATATTTTTCAAATGTACACATTGTTCAAAACTAATAACACACCATTGGTGTCTTATATTTTTATTAATGTATTTTTCGTTTAAGTGAGGGCTGATCTTCTACCTATTCTTTCTTGTAAGTTCTGGTATAAAGTAGCAGGTCTGATTGTGTTGTTATGTCTCGATTGACAAGCTTTATGCTTCTCTTTTTTTTTTTTGCTCAGCATTTGCTTTTGTATATTTATGCAGCGACATTCTCTGCAACAAGAACAAAACCGTCCTGGGCAAAGGGGACACGCTGAGGTTTCCTAAACTAGCAGAAACAATGGAAATCATCGCCAAGCATGGGGCAGAGGATTTCTACTCTGGCAAGATAGGACAGGACTTAATCCGAGACATTAAAGATGCAGGTTGGTGCCAGATGCTTAAGGTCAAAACACTGCTTTTACAGACAGAAACCGAGGGTTTTCATTGTGCAGAGAGAGTGAGTGAAAACAGTCTTATGTATTCCTGACTTCTTTATCTTAGGTGGAACTTTGAGAATGGAGGATCTGAAATCTTTTAAAGTTCGTGTGACCAACGCCTGGACAGTTTCCTTGGGAGATGTTCAGATGCACTTTCCTCCACCACCTGCTGGTGGCGCCCTGCTTGCCTTCATCCTCAGGATCATGAAAGGTTTAATTTGCTCCTCAAAGACTGCACCATTAACCACTGAATGACCATACCACAGTAGCTCTAACATTTCGGTGTGCTGTCAGTACTAAAGAAGAAAAAGCAGTTGTTTGTTGATCAGAATCCTTTAAACTATTATTTTTTTCCTGTAGGGTTCTCGCTGACTTCAAACTCTCTGTTTGGTGACAAGAAGATTCAGATGTACCATCATTACATAGAAGCTGCCAAATTTGCTAACGGACAGAAGAGGAGCATTTGTGATCCATTGTTTGACGATACGAAGGTTGGAAACTGAAACTGTTTTCTAATTACTGGAATATAGATTATCACTAGCACAACCAGTTTGTGTGTATAAATGGTTAAAAGAAAAAGGCAGCTCAGATTAGATCCACAGTGAACACTACAACCAATGTACCCACCAAAGTTAGTGTCACTTCCCAGTCTTTATGCTTAGTCCTATAGTTGAGATATTTTCCTAATCTCAGTTTAAGGGACAACGCACATCTATTTCCAGAGGAAAAACTTCTTAAACAGAATGTCACCCACAGTACTGCCATATATTGTTTACATTTTATGGAAAGCAATGGCTAGTGAAAGAGTGAAGGTAATTTCATTTATAGTCTGTGATTGTGGTTAGGATGCTTCATAGCAATATCTTTATTTTGTCTTTTCAGAGTGCTAACCACTTGTTGGATCAGTCCTTCACCAACCACATCAGGAACATGATTAATTCAAACCAAACGCGTGAGGACTCTTACTACAGCAACACCAAGCATTCCTCTGATAACATGGGGACCACGCACGTATCTGTCCTGGATGAAAATGGGCTGGTTGTGTCTGCCACCAGCACCATAAACCAATTGTAAGCAGGAAGACTCTTCAGAGTACTTTCATTCACTCATAATTGGAAATTATAATGCGCAGATCCCTCCTGCCTGTTGTTTTGTTCCTTAGATTCGGGGGAGCCGTGTACTCTCCGCGAACAGGCATCATCCTCAACAATGAGCTGGCTGACTTTTGTGGTCGAGCAGACAAAGTCAGGGCAGGTGAAGTCACAGATGGAAACAAACAACGGCAACCGAATTAAAGGAGGTCTGTAGCTTCGACTTGTGTCCGATCTGAATTAGAAATGCTGCTGTCATACACAGGTGAACAACCTCCTTCCTCAATGACTCCAGTAATAATGGACACAGAGTCTGGTGGGACCCTTGTGATTGGTGGATCAGGAGGAAGCATGATTACCACAGCCGTTGCCATGGTAACTGTGTCATTAAAATCCAGTTAGCTTGTTAATTTGTGTGCTTGCTTGTGCTCAAATGATTCTCTTTTACTCTCACAGTCCATAATGAATCACCTTTGGCTGGGGATGAGCCTGAAAGATGCCATTGCTGCTCCTATTGTATTTGTTGATTCAAAGAACAATGTGAATTTTGAGAAAGGTTTTGACGAGGTGATGTATTTTTCCCCTAATGTCCATTAGTGCATGCAAATTCACTTAACTGAGATCATTTAGTTTATGTATAATAATTCTGTTTATATCAATTGATTCAGTTACACATTAAAGGAATATAATTTTGCAAAGCATATTTAATTAATAATCTGTAATCAGTGTTGAAGGAAAAACTGTATTGATTCACATTTGTGTTGTTTGCTTTCAGTCTGTGAAAGAAGGCCTGAGACAATATGGACACAACATTGGGAATTGGAAGTTCTTTTTAAACGTGGTCAACGCTGTAAAAAAGGAGAATGGATGCATTGAGGCTGTATCAGACCAGAGGAAGATGGGAATGGCTGCTGGGTACTGACCATGGGGATGGCTAAACTTCCAGCAAATTCCGTTTTCAGCCTTTGGCCTTTGAAGACATTAGTGTGCTTCTGGGGCCCTTACAACAAACTGTGAGTGGATCAGGGGATGTTTCTTGTCTCAAGATAAATCTCTTCCACAACAAAAAATGGCTGTGATATGAGTAAAAGACATCTAATAGAGCTAAAGTTGCATCAGTGACCATCACGTTTAGCTCATTAACACCTTAATGTTAATTTACATTAGTTCCAAACATACATTTGAAGAGCATGAAAATCATATCTTCAGTTGTATTTATAGATGTGAAATGGAAATTCAACAAAAAAAAAGTTGGGAGAACTCACTCTTTAGACAAGTACTATTCAAATGTGTCGTCTTCAACCTGTGCAACATCATGATGCTGTAATATGTAACTGGGCTCCATCTCTCCACAAACATGTCTATATTGGTGAGTGCGTTGATTTTACCTCTTTTTTATTAATTGTGCCTTCTGCTGCAGAGGTAGTTACTGATCATTATAATAAGCAGAATGATTTTCCATTCATGAGGTTTGGACCAATAATTGCACAACTAAAATATGTCACTCATTTGACTGATTTGTGACATCACACAGGGCTTACACCACAGGATAAGGAAGCCGTTGGAAGTCTGGTTTACTCTGAAGCTTTTTGGACTTTAAATGCGTCATGAACTTGCCACTTTTGCAATGTGTGATTCTTAAATACCGGGCTGTAAATGACTGACTAGAATAACATCAAAGCACATGGAACAGCACCGTTTGCTGTGTCAACTTTGGCATCTGCCTCCAATCATGAGGTTGAGAACAACATTTTTATTTTATTTTTATAACTCCAATTTTCTAGTGACATCACAGCTAGATATGAAGGTTCTCCACTAAGCTTCTGGAAGAGTTCATTTTCTAAACTAAATCTTTTCATGGAAATAATTATTTGTATTTCAATGACAATTGATGTTTACTTTTTCATTCAGGACAGAGGTGTGTTTTTTATTAGATGAGATATTTAACCATTCTGTTGGCTGCCCAGACAGCGAAAACACTGTAACCTTAAAGATTTTACTGTATGTACCATATTTAGGTTCTAATCCATAATCAGAACCTAGTATGACGTAAATATTCATTTGTATTGCAACAAAAATATAATTTTATATTTTTTGTCTTATTGAAACATTTTGTAGAATTTTTACTTTTGTTTACAACTCTTCACATTTATTTTTTGTGTTTTCATAATAAAACATCAGTTTCAAAAAAGAAAGTCTGTTTTCCTCATCAGGTACAATTTTGCACAGTGCTGAAGTTATATCCTGTGTAAACAAAGCTAACCTTAAAAGCAGCTTCCTACATATTTTTCCTATTTATCATACAGTACAGTAGGGACTGATGGATGCTACTCAGATAGAATCTTTCAGTTTGAATGTGAGGTTTTATTTTTAGTCTGAAAAAAACTTTTCAGCGTCAGAACCTTATTACATCTTATAAATATGGCCTATTCATGGTTTTGGCCTGTTTGGCTCCCACTGGCTCATGAAAACTTTTTAACCAATGAATTCTGAAAGAAAACAGTGAAATCCAAAGAAAATGCGAGGACAAATATGTTTAAGGACAAGGCAAGACCATAAGTAAATAATAAGGTACTTGATGAAACACCGCATGGTGGTGGTGTGTTAGCACCACTGTCTGGCACCAAGCGGGTCCCCTCGACAAGGTTATACCTGTGTGAAAACAGTAGTTTTATTTTGGTCATATTCATACAGAAAGAAAATTCTACAGGGATTGCAAACTTTTAAGGAGTTCCAGGATGCTATCATCAATGATATACCTCCTATTCTCCAATTAGCCACATTTCAGAGCAGCATCGAGCCAGAAAAAAAGAAGTAATGAGATGCATTTTCAGTCGAGAAACGTATGAATTAGTAATGATTTCTTAAGTGGATTCTGCTCCGTTCCCCTTCGAGGCATTCTGTGTGAGTTCTGAGAACATGCAAATTTTACACTGTGTGGAGAAGCGCTGTCTTTGTTGCATGACAAAGAAGTTAATCTGGATAAGATTTGATTTTTGAGGCTATGGTGTCATGATATCCAGCCGATTATGTAAAGAACAGTCGGAAAAAGTAAGTATCGTTTTAAAGCGTGCAGAAAATATCTCTCGAGGCAGCGAAATAAGTTCCCTGATGAAGCAAATGATTCCAGCAGTTGTTGAAGTGTATTGCTTTTTAACAGGCCCTTCTGCACGTGTGTCATTATTTATATTTGTTATAATACTTTCATGAAGCAATGAGTCAAATTTAAACTGCGTATTCACTCACACTGCAGATTTTTTATGCCTGCGGGGGAGAGAAATTGGCCTGTTTGAGTTGCATAACTCTGCTCATCATAGCTGCAGTGTGTATAAGTTGGTCTATGTTTAATTGGGCCTTCAAGCCAAATTTCAGTGTGACTGTGACAAGAAGATGCTTTCTGCATCAAAAGCACAGAGAATCAGCACAAAGAATTGTAACTATATAAGGCAAAACTACTACATATATTTTTATAAAGACCACTGATGTGCATCTTGAGTTAATTAAAGGCCTGGTCATATTATAACAGCAGTGTTTAATATGTTTGTCATTCCTCTCACTTCACAAGCTGCTGTCATTGAAATGAAGTCTTGCACAACAAATGATGGAAATGAAGGAAACACACTGAACAGGCAGAAGTTTAAGTCACATTTAAACATATTCACACGCAGGATCAAGCCCAGTGAGTAATCCTGAGGATGCACGTGTTTCAAGTGTGTTAAAAAGTATGGTATTTGGGTTGGCCAGAAAAGGCCTTGCTTTCTGAAGTCATTTTACAAGAAGTTAGCTGCAGCAGGGAATCGGTAATCGTAACTCTTTCCGCGATAATAAATATACACATTCCTGTGGTCTTTACCTAGAAAAGAACATCACATCTGTTCAATCTCAAGAGCTTGTATAAATATGTGCTGTACATATTTGGCTCTGATTTTAAGCAATGACTAAAAGAAAGCTCCAAACAGTGAGACTTTTATCTTTTTATTTTGTTATAAATACATCAGAGTGTTCTAAGTTTTACCAAAACTCAATATCAGAAAAATGTTTTCATTGCCAATCCATCTTTTTAAATTCTGTCAGTCCAGATCAGCTTTACAGTTCACTGTTACGCCTGCTACCTGCCCACTCAGATGGTGGAAGACATCCTTTTGCCCGCATAACTGTATCAGATAACACAACATCAAGAAAGTAACCGTTAGTAGGAGAGCTATATTTGTTTATTTCTCAGTGTATGCACAAAGGAAAGAAATCCAATCAGAGAATCCTCTTAACCTGTTACAGAGACATATATCAAACACATGTCTGACCCTAAGAACATGTGAAAAAAGTGTCTCACATTGCTTTTGAAAATGAGGAATTAATGATCAGATTTGTTTCCTTAAAGCCCTTGACAATTTAAAATAAATTGTATCAAATTAGAAAGCCAGATTTCAGTGTTTTGGCGACATTTAAATGAAATGTGAAAAATACCTATAAAAAAAGATAACAAAACTACTTCTTTAAAAAAGAAAAGTCTAAAAAACATCATGAGAAACCCTTAATTGACTTAAAAACTCAACAACCTAAACCTGCACAATGCCACAAATCTGTGTAACTGAGCCAGTGGTCTGTTTAAGCTTTGCTTTGAAAATATTGCATGGGTATATCCCCTACTTTCATCCTTAAAATGATCAACACTGTTTTGTGTTGCTTTTTGCACCTGAACAAAAGCTAAATTTGATTATTCAGACAGATAATGGCTAGATATTCAGCAGCAGTGTTCAGGATTACAGTTTCTCTTTTGAAAAAATGTCTAACTATCATCAAGACCCAAAACAAACAATGAGTCTTTAAGGTTTATTTAAACTTTTATTTCTAAAAAAAAACATAATTTGATTTAGAAAAAATAATCATGACCAAAAGTAGAGGTGCTTATTTTTATTTGCGCAAGTACACTCTCCAGCCCTAATCTCATTGGTAACTCAGGTCACGACAGATATACCGTTGTGATGAGGTTATTATGGGCTAGTGCACTGTGGGAAATTACTTTGAGTCATTATTGTATTCTCTGGGCCTGTTCGTCCCTGAGGTGCTATGATCTGAGTTTTCTGATAACTGAATGGGTTCTTATGTAATATTTATATGTTTATAACAGGACAAAGCTTAACACGGAAAGTAATTTACAAAAGTGCTCCATGAATAGCTGGAGAGCGCACACTTTCATGGCTCCTGTTGTGTGCACAACATTGTGTTAAAGAAATATCAGCATTGACAAGTGCTTTTGTTTTCACATTTTCTTTTATAAAAAAAGCTCTAAAGATACCTATCAAAACACACTTTGCAAATTTGTGACTTGCAAATGATGATGTGATGTATACATTTTTAAAAAACTATGAACTGACTTCGGTACAGTTGCCATTCATAAACAACACTCTAAAGACAGAAGATCAAGTGCCTAAACCTACAGACAATGGTTGCTGGCCCTTTATTGACTTAAATCTCTTACGTCACATCGAAGGTGTCAAAGTTCTATGGGTGATTGGAGGTGTGTTGTTTGCATCAGTAGCCGGCAGCATATGCCCACTTGCGGGGATCTGACTGAGCATGCAGTCCATTTTCATGGCGGACCACAGCCTGTACCACGGCCCCCGTCGATGTGAGGAACTCTGTCTCATGGTTCTTTTCTGCCAGACCAGCCAGGATGCTCTGTGACAACGGGGAATCACAGGTAAAACTGATTAGACATGAATGACAAGTATTCTTTTTCAACAATTTGATCTGATCAGCGTTTGCAACCTTCAGGAAATAAGATTTACATGAATTTCTTTTTTCATGGGAATCAATATTTTGTTGTACATCTATGATCTTTTACAGTGGAATGTAGTGGAGCTTTGTTACGTTTGGGGGCCTGCTTTTCATCAGACTAGAAGATGGACTACATCCTCCCCTCCCTTCTGTTGCACTGCAGTACATTGATCCCTGACAATGAGCATAATGAACAATGTCTCTAGTGCCAGTTGTGGGTTAGGTAAATGGACCATTTTTTTTGTATTTGGATGAAGGATGGTCTCCCTGGCATTGCACACCTCCCTACTATTAGTAACATATATCAGTGTTGTTTGCTTTTTATGACACTCACTTTGTCAAAGCCAGGCTCTGCAACAGTGCTGTTGGGAACCAGCTGGTTGTGGACCCTTGGATCTGACACAGCTTTCTTTAGATCATAGTTGAAAAATAGTGTATTCAGAATCACCTGCAAAACACAAAGCATGCATATTGTTATTATTTCAGTGGTGTGAATTAAACCAGTATAAACCCATCATAAGTGCTGGCTTTGCACTAATTACCTGAGCAACAGCAGTAGTGATTTTTGTCCCTCCCGAACCTCCGACCACCATCTTTACTTTATTGTTTTTGTCAAAAAGAATGGCTGGGCACATGGAAGACATTGGTCTTTTCCCTTTAAACATAATTCAAATGAATAAATAAATAAACAGAATCGTATGGATAATTATGTTGACACAGTCAAATAAGATTTGAGCATGCTTTGTCTCTTTTTTTCAATTGTCCTTAGCAATAACTTCACAACTCTGAAGAAAAGGTGCATTAACAATATACAACCAAACCCTAGAATTGTGCAGGTATTAGATCTCAGTATCACATGCGTATGAATGAACATGCTTGCTGTAATCTAACCTGGCCTTATGAAGTTGTTTGGAGAAGGAGGAACACCAAAACCATTTGTGATGAATGGGGAGCTGAAGTCATCCATTTCATTGTTGAGAAGAATCCCAGTAGAATTTGACTGAACTTTAGAGCCAAAACTACAAGGGAACAGTAGGGATTTGTATGCATACGTTTGGTTACAAAGTGGTAATAAAATAGGATTTACCTCTTCTAATGAAATTGTCGCTGTAAGGGTGATAAACAGGAATAACAGGATGTGTATAAACAGGAATAAAAAGATAAATGTGTCTGATAGCAAAATAATATTCCCACTTTATGAGCAATGTGTGTATAAAGTTAATAGGCTGAAGAGTCTCTGGTGTTTAGAAAAGGAGCTCTTACAACTGGTTGATGGTACTGGTGGCGGCCACAGCGCTTCCATCCTCTGATACTACAGAGATGTGTGACGTCCCATGATTTTCAGGCAGGTAAAACTCTGGTTCGTAGTAGCTGATATGATGTGTGGTGTGGTCAGTTATTTTACCACGGAGCATGTCGGCATAGAAACGTGACGTCATGTTCTGGATGACCTTTTGAGTAAAAAAGATTTCAATTATTCAGACACCGTGCAGAAACAAAACTAGAAACTATGTTTACAGGTAGTAGACTCTATGTTAAGAAAAATCCACCGAGTTCAAAACCACTTTCCTCAGACACTGTAAACTTACGTCAGTTATGTTGAGAAATTTGCGATCCCCAAGTAACGTTCGCTTTGCATAGGTGAAACGAAAGGCTTCCACTATGCGATGGTAGGTTAGGATTTTGTTCTCTGTGCTTGCCATACTGTCAGCGGAGAGGTTATAACCTGAAAAACAATCACAGCAATCCACAACAGCCATCAGTGTGAATCACAGTTTCACCCGTCTGCGTCCTCCTGGGTTCAAATAAGAATAAATAAAAGAGACAAAATGGACCTGCCACGTTGTCTGTTTTCATTTAGTGCAAAAGCTTCTGCGATCAAATCATGGCTAATTGTTAGAGCTGACAGTCACAGAAGGAAGAGAGTTTTGGGTTGATCTTGTCTCAGCTGTAGGACAGATCCAGGAGTCATGGTAAATCATCAGGGTGAGAATTCTGGCCACTAACTGACATGTGAGGGAAGCTTTAACCAATCATCTATGTCCAATTAGAGCTACATTTGTGAGATTAGTTTTAGTGTGTGTGGCAGGGGGCCACAGTGAGTGGGAGGCCAGTCAAGGGAAAGAAAAGATTTTGCTGAGCTTAATTATTTTAGAAGAAAGTTTCCCATCTGATCCTCAGTGGCTGTCACAGTTCTGACATGAAACTGAAGCAGCAAGACGGCGCCTTCACAGACCAGCAGTTCGGATTTTATGGTCTACGCCAAAATCCATCAGAAGAGAAAGTCGAGTCAGACATCTAATGATGTAAACAGTCTTAAAATATGATTATGAGATTTTTAAAAATGATAAACAGGAGGTAATGATGATTCCATAAAAAGATCAGGCTGCACTCATTGGGACACAATGGGTTAGTGAACTCTCTGTAAGTTTAACTTTATTCTCCAGATTGTACAAAATATACATGTGTGAGTCTTCTGCTTGTCACCTATCCTACTGTGACATTTAGTTTATAAGTGAGGCTATCATGTAAATAATTAATCATTTTTGTATCTGAGCAAATAATTTACAGCACTTATTTTAGATGTCATTTCAGTAAAAATAACATTAAACATTAACAATGAATTTGCTAAACCATGGCTTAATGTGCCTCTTACAGGCAGTTTCTTTCTGTGAGAATGACTGGAGGGCAGTCTCCCACTCAGATGCTTTTTGGACAGAGCATCAAGGCTTACCATTCAAGATGTTTAATATCAATGATAGCACAGGGCCGCTAGCGGGGGCATTGGGAACAGCCATGGTGTACTCCCCCACTTCCACCCTCAGAGGATTTTCATCCAAGACAGGCTTGTAATCCCTTAGATCCTCCATTGTGATGATACCACCTAAACATAGTGAACACTACTGTGAATGTATACCAGGACACAAATGCAAATACAAATCCACATCAAACTGAAGCTGAGACAGGCATATTAGTTCATGTCGTCTCAGAAGTATGCAATACAATCTGTGGTTATTCTGAACGTTAAAAAGGATCTTTAAAAAATCTACAAACGCAGTCTATTTACCAACATGAAAAACTGTATCGTCACACTGTCATAATATATAATGATAATGATTGTAGGAGCTCATTTTTTTTTGTACAGATGCATAAGGGGATGGCACACTGCCCTCTTATTTCTGATTGATTCTATTTGCATCACGGTAACGCTTTCAAAGTAGAGGACAAAGGGCAAGTTAAGAAGTGACTCGACAGCCTTGTCTTTGACTAATCAGTGATAGTTCTGTTTAAAAGAAAACCCACAGGGTTGAATGTATATAACAACACAGTGAGTAGGAGTTCTCTCTCAGTACCTTCAAAAACAAGTAGAATTTATTCTTTTTTTTTTAATTGCCGACTTTACCAGTCTTCTGCCCACATCAAGGCAGTTAATCATAATCACTCCACAAAAAGTCCAAATTTTCTAGCTGGATGTGTTTAACACATAAACACATTTCAAACTGCTTGTTTAAGCACCTTACATTATATGTGTTTATGGTATAATATTAAAACAGCTCAGTTGAGATAGGACATGGCTATTTTGATTTTCCTGCAGTCAAAACATTCAACTTAATATTTTCCATCAAATCAAGCTGTTGATAAAGAAAATTATGGCACTTTGTCACTGCAGACTTTCGACTGTATAACTTCATTATAAACTTTTCTTTAAACCACGAACAGAACTCCAATAGTTACTTTGACAGTAAAGAGAATGTTACCTGCTGTCTGGATGTCTCTCACAAGATTCTGAGCCAGCTCTCCGACATAGAAAGCATCAGCGCCTTCCTCAGCTATGGTTCTGTAGGTTTTAGCCAGCTTGGTGAACCTAATGGTTTCATTTTCTTTTAGGATGTCACCATTTTCCCCACAAAACACCTCACTGCCGGAAGAGAAGAGAATTTGTAATATATGTAACAGTCACAGTTGAATAGTCAGAGACCAATCATGGTTGATGGCTCTCACCACAACATGTTGTCACTCTCGATGGTCTTCTTATGTCTGGACAGAGCTGAGGCCAGGGCCTTACCAACTGGAAATCCCTTTTCTGCAAGTTCGATGCTGGGTTGAAATAAGTCCGCCCAAGGAAGTTTCCCATATCGTTCATGTGCCATCTGATAGCCTCGAATCTCCCCAGGCACAGCGATGGACAACCCACCTGCAGTTCACGCAGCCAATGAAAGAAATCCAAACACACCTCATGAAGGGAAGTGGCATTTTAAAGTCCTGAATTGTTGCTATCCATACATTTCCTTGGCGTTTCTGAATGCACAACACTATTCCGTGAAGCACACTCTGAGACTAGTCCTTTGCATGCACACTTGTATTCCAGCTTTTTCTCAGATGCAACCGTACCTCTCTGGGATAAGTCTGTACTGTTCCCAAACATGTTCTCTGTCGCATTACGTGGTGCTGTCTCTCTGGCATCGATGGTCTGTACTCTATCTGTGTGACAGTCAAACACACATGGATTGTTTGACTTTCATCTTTAAACAGCAAATGGAAGAGCAGAGAAAATGATCAGTGTGGGCAGTGTGTGTGTTTTGCAGTAAAAGTGTACCAGTAGCTGCATCGTAGATGGTCAAGAAAAACCCGCCTCCTATGCCTGCACTATGAGGATTCATTAAACCAACACACAACAGCGCTGCTATGGTGGCATCCACCGCAGATCCCCCTTTCAAGAGCGTGTCTCTGTGGTTAAAAACAAGAGAAAAGAATAATGAAAGTAAATTTGTAGTTTATTTGTAAAAGCTGAGAGCGAGGTTTTATGCAGAAACAGAATTAAACTAAACTGGTTTTATTCTAAAGCTACGTTAAATGCAGACATTCATGATTGTGATGGAAGTTCAGAAAGGAGTTCTCACCTGCCCACCTCTGAACACGGCCCAGCATCCGCTGCCACGGCCGCCTTCAAGTAAACCCACTCAGCCGGCGGGTTCCTCTTATCCACGCCCAGAAACACACCCACAAAAGTGGCAGCAGATACCAGCAGCAGCAGCGCCAGTGCCAATATTATTGTCTTCTGGACCATTTTCCTGCTTGAACAACTGAATAATGTATGTCCGGTCTGACAAAACAGAGCAAAAGAAAAAAAAACCTTGTATGTTAATCATTTGTGATGTTGCCCCTGGAAATAGTGGTGCTTTGTAAAACAAAGAAGAGAAAGAGCCAATTGGTACAAATCCCTATGTTTTGTTGAGCAGAGGAAAAAGCAGATGAAACGGCAATGATTCTCAGATGTTTTCAGCAACGTCTTGAACAGACGACAACTTCCAAAGCTTATGGTGTTCCTGAAGGCTGAATCCTGGCATCTGCTTCATTCATTTTCTATACCACTTATTTCCAACCAGGTCGCGGGCTGGTGTCTGCCTGCCCTCTTAACAGAACAATGTTCATGGAATGAAGCAGTTGTTTTGATGTTTAACCATTTATAACTGATGATACCGAGAAGCAGCCTAAACCTAACAGGAAACTACCTGCTCTTATTTCTTCATTGCCTTCCTGTAATGTAAGCTCTTATCATACTATGTCAAATAGTTGGATCAGATTAGATTACAAGTGCTGAATTTTTCAACAGTAAAATTTTGGTTTAAACATGTTGAAAATGTTTAGGAAGTATCACAGTTCATATCTACCGTTTTTTTTTTTTTTTCACATAGAGTTTATAGACATAATACCGTCCCATTAATTTTGCTAAAATAATCATAACTTCGAGCTATTTATTTATATAAAAGAAATGCATTAAAATTAATCTTGTACTTTAAATCAAACATTTAACTTAGTTTAAACCCTAAATAAACTTCTGTTCCAGTTCATGTCAATAAGATTTAAGTGTTCTTACTGCTTATATATCCTTACTAATCCATAGTTATCCACCATTTGTGACCAAAGACATATCCCTGTTAAGTTTTTATTTTGAACCAATTTTGGTACATTGCAGTCATAACAATGTGAGTCTGTCTTAGTCATGCATGACAATACTGATCAGTGGGAAAGGATTCAGTACAGGACTTTCTGACCGAGACACTTCTACAGAACAGTCTTGGTTGCACTTTCAACATTCAAGATATTGTAAAACAAAGCCAAGATTGTTCAAACTTAATACATCCAAATAATAAAACCTGCTGCGACTGATTGAAAGAAAACTTTGTAACAGAACTTCCTGTCAACTTAGGTGCACTGTTGAGTCATGCAGTACAAAAATCATTTCCACAAAACAGACACCTGATTTCAAAATACTAGAATTACTTTCACAATGTGAAAACTAAATCTTCATTTTAAGATGAAACAGCAGACGACCACCATTTGGATGTTTGAGATGTAAGAACAGGTCTCTGTCTTACCTTGACTCTTCAGAAGCAGGCTGTGTACCACTCTCTGCAGCCGTTGATAGGTAAGTGCTTATATCGGTAAGTCATTAAACTTTAACCCATCCCACAATAAAACACCTAACTTGTGTCATCAGTTGTGGTGGAAAATGCAGACACGGAAAAAAGAGATAGCTGGAAATGCCTGTCATTATAAAATAGTACGTCATCAGCATTCACATAACATTTTTAACTCCACTTTCAAGTGCAGAAACATGGAAACCCTGAAACCCTCCGACAGAAAATACCCGAGTCCCTGTCTACAGAGATAGATTCAGTGAAAAAGATTAAGCAACTGTAGTTTCAGTTTGCTGGTGTTCCATTTTGAATAGATGATGTATGACTCAAGGAAGGCAACATTTTGACAAGATGACCAAGTAGGGTCGTTCAACACAGCAGAAAATGTATTTGTTTTTTCTTATTTTCTTAACATATATGAGGGCTCACAAAACGTTTGTGGTCTTATAAGTTTTTTTAAAAAGTGCCTCCTCACCAGGAAAATGAAGGCTGTCAGCGCTGCGTGGGAGAGGATCCCATCTGCAATAAGGGGAAAAGAGAACGCTCAGAGCAAACTGCGGGGTGACAGTGTGCGGGCGTGCAGAGCCGGATGACAGCGCTCAGTTAAATAAGTGAGGCCAAAAAGTGGAGCATATTTGGGACAGTACGGATTCATTTTGTACCAGGATATCCAGATGATGAGGGGAAACTAATTGGATTTATCCTCTAAAGCTTCAGCTCTGCACAAATACCTTCTGTGAAGAACCAGCTATCAAATGTTTTGAGGACAATCTTGGAAAATTGCAACTTCTGCACTGAAAATGTATGAGGAGGGGTGGTTCATATCAAGTGAGAGAAATAAAGGAGCTCAATGGAATATCACTCCTTTCAAACTGATTAGCAGTTTTGTGCAGTTTTAGCTTTGCTTTACTAAGGAGTCCTCACCTCTTCTTTTTGTCCATTTGTGTTCTTTGCTGGACGTTTAGGTCCAGCTGTGGTAGGACCAGCAATTAATGTTTATGTTTTCACAGCTGAAACTCATGAGCAGCTCTTTAAAATCCACTGGTGCATCTCAAACTAATAATGAGGAGCATGTGTCACAAAGACGAGCCTCTATGCTTGGCCACCAGGATTTTCTTCACCACGCATAGTACAGTTGAAATCTATTTATTGAAAGCACAATTTGAAAAGCCTAACAACCTGTAAATGTTTTACAGCAGCACCACACAATATATGCACCAGTAAGCTGTACACTTTAAAACAACAAGATCTTAATTATGTTGCCAATCACAATATTAGATTTTGACTTCATAATTAATGTGGTCATATTGTAATCCCACTATTAATAGAAAATTATAGTTTCCTGTCAAGCACTTTACTTTCTTTCTAAATTTTATGGCTCTCTTTATTAAGATCATATTTCTGTGACATCATATGTTGCACCATTGCAAAGTGTCTGGAGCCATCTGTCCCATGTAAAAAAAAACAATCAAACCAACTAAATTGTGTGCAGTAATATGTTAGCCCAACGTGCAGGGTACAGAGTACAGCAGCACCTTATCTCATTCTGTACATAAAGTTACATAAGCTGAATCAGTATATGGTTGTGTTCCAAACATCTCCCAAAGCTTTGTTATTCACCTGGGAACAACATAAATACCGTATTTTCTGCACTATAAGGCGCACCGCATTATGAGGCGCATAGAACAGGAGCTCCAGTAGTGGCTGGGGCTGCTTATGCATCCACTAAATCCACTGCGCTAAAGAGTATGCCAACAAAACAGTCAGATAAGTCAGTCACGCTTTATTAATAGAATACAAACCAGCGTTCTGACTAGTCCATTCACTCCCAAAATGAATAAACAGCTGTTTTATCATTTTTCCTGAGGTAATGTCCACCATTCAGTAAACACGTTAAATGAACAATCTGATACCGTTACGGTAAATCAAAAGTTAGTCTAATCACAATATATAGCAGCTAGGATAAAGCTGACGAGCTTTTCTCAATGAAAAAAACCCCAAAAGCCTAGTATAGAAATATTTGAACTACCTGTTGTTGTTGTTACGTTCAGATTCAACGTTTACCATAAATACACACATTTTTTTAACAGCCACTTCTTCTACTTTACTGCTACTTCTTCTACGGGAGAAATGGAGTTGGCGGCTGCTTGGCATAGTTGCGAGACCTGTTTCAACTCAATCCTGATCAATATATATGGCACGCGGGATTATAAGGCACACTGTCGGCTTTTGAGAAAATTGAAGGCTTTTAGGTGCACCTTATAGTGCGGAAAATATGACGTTAAATGTATGATGTATATGTAGGACATAGTTATGTCCTACATCAAATTATTCCTCATTATCTCAGGATAAGGTAATCTTTTGGCTGGCAGATAGTCCACATCTCCATTGCTACATTTCACTGTGCAACATAATGTACTTGTAAAGCTTCCAAGGAAATTCTTCCACAGATACCGTCATTTTTTTCACCTTTCAGTCGCTTCCTGTTAACAAAGAAGTCACAACAATCTTACACATCTGTTAGCACCATCCATGTGCAAAGGCAATCAGAAAGCAACACAATTCCTCTACAAGGGGCAGGTATACTTACACATCAACAAAGAGAACTGAATATGCTCTCAGGCTGGAAAATACATGGCGTATCTGGAGAAAAACTCTCAAAAACACCACCACAGGTTTCATCACGACCCTTAGACCTTTAATAGATGTGCTCGTCCTGTTTTACACACCAAAAACATTTAAAAAAAACACATCCTCCCTGCTGCCATAAGCAACAATGATGCTAACAATGGCTTTCAGATCAGTAACACATGAGGGCCAGAGGCAAATCTCTTTAGGCTGTTTGATAACTGTTGGGATTCCATACAAGTAGAAGACATGAAAGAAACTATTCAAGTTTGTTTGCGACATCCCCAATTCACAACAAAGAAGGCAAACTAGACAATTGAAGGTGCTGTCTAAAATTATGAAATGCAGACGGATCCCAGCAAAGTCAGTCAGGCAAAAAGCACTCCGGGACCACTCGTATCATCAAGCACAGAGTTCGCTGAGGTCTGAAGAGGCACACAGCTTAGTGGGATGTCTTTTTGTGGTGATGTAAGACTGTTGCAAGTTTCAGACCTGCTGTTAATACATACAAGACTGACAGGGCTTAAGCTTTAAAAAAAAAGCACATGTCATTCCCAGTTCTTGCTGATGCATTCCGCCGTGAACCTGAGGATTATCTGCAGTTTAAGAAGTCTAATTTTAGGGTATGAAACGAAAAATATTTCTGCCTTCCCATGGGAGGTGATTCCCTGTGTAGGGACAATGGATGCAATCAACAAAAACAATGCTGGCAATCAATGCTATAAAAATATATATATTTGAGGCTTGGAATTACATTACCCTATTGCACAAGTATATTTAATTAAATTTAATATATCTTCAATTGCAATTTTGCATCTCCAAATCGGTTAGTTTTTGTGATATGGGCTCAACTGTGCTGCTTTCAACTTACAACGATCAACAGTCTTTTCCACGACTCTCACTCTGAAGCTGTGCAGCAAGTCCCGCTCTGATTGGCTGAGAAGAGCACGGGCTCTGAGTAGCAGGAGAGGATGCCGGAGTGCTCAGGCAGTGCATGGACGGATGCAGGCTGGGGACGACACACCGGGAGACACCGTGCACGTTGTTGCTCTGCTGCCTCGCGCTTCCCAGAAGTCTCAAAAACTGTAAAAACACTCTTTTATTTATGCCGAAACATCCCGATGCAGGTCAAGTGTGATGTTTTGTCTCCCTCCTCACCACCACAACCACCGACACATCCTCTGAGGAGTGATGGGCTCGAAGTTAACCAGACAGAGAAGTCTCGATATTGAGAGCAAATTGTCCAAGAGAAGACACCAGAGACATGAGGCTCCGGGAGAGAGCGACAGAAGTGGCGGCAGAGACTTGTTGTTCACTTCCCTGATGCTCAGGTCCGACAAGCTGCCGGGGATGCTGCGCAAAACCAACCAGAGCCCGTACGTGAGACGCGTGGCCTGGGTGCGGGAGATCCAGAGGCTGCTCCGGGAGCAGAAGATGGAGCAGGCAGGTGAAGTGCTCAAAGTACTGAGGAAGGTAAGAAACCAGCCCCCCAAAAGTATTTAAGAGTGAGACTCAAAGTAGAAAGTTAGTGACTGACACAGTGAATCAAATTTGTGGCAAAAATATAATTATATGTGTAGACTCATGTAATATATGTTTTTATTGGAATAAGAATTTCTTTATTCTGCACATGCATGCATTACCTGTAAGAATTCCACGTTTGTTTTTCAAATGTGCAGCCAAATTCAAATGTGCACATGTAACATCTGCATCAAATTTGACTTCTGCTGATAAGTTCCAGTGAAAGAGCATCTCCTGAAGGCATGTCACAAAGTGGGTGACATAATGATCTCATCATTTAAATTCTTTGAATCATTTACTTTGTTCTCATAAATGTTAGACTTTGTACTGTCAGCTTTGTGTAATAACAGAATCTGAGTCTACCTGTGGTGAAATGCAGCCTCTCTGAGAATCACTAAGCTGTACTTTTAAAAATGTTGCTCACTACATGCAACACAGATCAGATGATGAGAGGTAGTTCTCGCACAACGCAAAAATCATGTTTGTTTCCATTAGAAATTATATCTAGACAGATTATAGTTTTTCTTTCTCTTCGTAAGTTGTTGACTTCACAAGGGTTGTTCAGGGTAAAATCTGAGAAAATAATTACCCAACTGCGGTTACTGTCACTGTTCTCTTTTTTCTGACTTTTCATGTATGAGGGAGTTTTATATCTATAGAACGGAGTTAAATGCTCATGCAGTCATGCATTTTATGCAGCTACCACTCCATCATGGCACTGCAAAACACTCCTATGTGTCCCCGTTTCTCAACACTGAACACAGTTTAAAGCTATCTATATGCAAGAGCAGTTTTTCCGCAAGATATAAATGTATAACATGCTCTGCTCCGATCCTCAGTTTGTTCAGAAATGAGAGGAAAACCTGTTTCATGCTGACTTTGTTCCCTCTTGTCATTTGTGCATAAATAAAAGAAGAAATTTATGAGTTCAGACTAAGGCGTTTTTATCACGACTGCCTTCTGCACATCTGGTGACCAGTAATAAACGACCGAATGGTGCAACAAGTAAAAAATAAAAAAAAGATTGGATTAAAAGGTAATTCCTCGACTCTCCACAGGTATTAAAATGAAAAGCACTTCTTCAAAAAAATCGGCACTACATAGCTTCAGATTAAATTTGATCTCTATCAAAAAAACCTGTTTATCTGACGGAGGATATGACTCATGCTTCAGACTTTGCTTTAAGCGGTACAACTGTCTGTTATATTATATATTATGATTTTAAGGACCAGTGTGCAGATTTGGCCGTGGTGAGTAGGGGGAGATTTCTGCATGACTTTACATTTAAAGTGCTCACGAAGCAGGACTACTCTCTCCATCACTCTGTGAGGTGAAGCCAGAGCACTGTGTTGTTTGGGATAAAGCCAAGTGTCTGACTAATAATAAAAAAAAAGAGAGATATATATAAAAAAGAAACTGGCAGTAGATATCTTGTTCACTTCGGTAAGACAACCTTCCCTCGTAGGGTTGCCGGCATGTGTACGTAATCACCTTCAAATGATGAATCCAGGAACATGTTTCTTCATAAAGGAAGTCATTACAAAGAGGAACCAATAACACCAGCCTCAATGCTGCATGTACATTATTGATCTGCCTTCTGGGACATTAAGTTAATTAGTTTGCAGACTCCATATAGTAATTAGTAAACTACAAATCAGCAAATACTCATATTAATAAAGCTCCATATCAAGCACTCTGTTACCAAGGTGCAGCACTGAGACCTCATCTTTATGTTAGTTTTAAAATAAGCTGCTTCTTCTAATCAACTTTATTGCTGCTGCTGCAAAAAACACACATCTGGAAACCATTGTTTCTCCTTACCACTTAATTTTTTATTTCATACTGTGCAAGCAGAAACTGTGGTGTAATCACATCCTATATGTGACATTCCCTCTCTCTAAATATTGCTTTCCTGTTTCTTTAGATTTTCTGTTTTTCAAAGACTGCCATATATTATTTTATACACTGGATTTTGCAGTGATTATATAAATTTTCATATGTCAATCCATCTATGAAAAATGGATCTTTTAGTCAAACAAGAAATTCACCGGAGTTTAGTGGTTTTACAGTCGTCGACGTGGAAATCTATGGGTCTGAATTTGTTACATTCTGCATTACACATAACAGGATTCTAATGAACTGTGTGTGTGGGCTGATCTGCGGTTTTGAGCTCATCGCCTTATTTAGACCTTTTGTGACAAACGTCACTTTAGATGTGCAGCTCCAGTAAGGATGTTTCTAGTCACAGACAGGAATCCTGTCAGTGACAAACAGGAAAACACTGTAATGCAGTAACAATGAAAAATCATTCAAGTTAATCCATGGGATGGATCATAGCTGTGTTAGACCCTGAGGCGCTTTTTTTTTCTATGAATTCTCCACAAAGTTTCACAAACAAAGATCTGTTACATCTAATGTTGCACCAGCAATTCTTAAAATAGAAACATCACAATCTTAAGATAATCCTTCAAATCCTCTGTTTCCATTTTTTGACACATGTGGAAGCCTCAGCTTGAGGTGCTGCGAAGGATAGCCCCGCATCAGGGAATCCCGCAAATCTTCACTGTAATAAATCAACCAAACAGCTGAAGGAGGAGAAAATGCTGATGGGAGTTTTTTTTTTTTTTTTTTTTTTCTTCCACTGTGCCCCAAAGTGATATGGCTGTCAGCACAAACAGAGAATGTTTTACACGGCTTCAGCCTCCAGCACGCCATGTGAAAAGCTTTTCTGTTCATACGGAGCTGACAGCGTTTATTCAGCAGCTCCAACAGCTCCTAGTTCCACTGCAATATAAGTAGACGATGTTCCAGAGAAATAAGCCTTTTCCCCTGTTCTTTTTTATGCAGTAAAACCAGTTATGTCTCCAATGAAAGAGTAGAGAAAATCCCTTTTTATAGTTGTTATGGATTAGGGAAAAAATAATGTAGCTATATGCCAAAGCAAAAAAAAATTCCTTTGACTTCCTCTCCCCATACTCCCCACCTTTCATCCTCTGGTTGGGAGGTTTTCCTTTGCTCAGTTTAATGTTTTCTCTGCTGTTGTTGCTTTTTTAAAATCGTGTCAGTGCATGTCTGCTCTGAAATGACATATACGCATCAAACTGGTGAACCTACTTCATGTACAGACAGACGTTACGTTTAACGTAGGTATGTGCGTTTAATGTCACATCTCACTGCAATTAGAAATAGTCTAAAAACATTATAAATATCATCAGCTTTGGACATGTCTTCTGTTTCATGGTTAGATTCCACTCAGGACTTGAGCTTTGAAGACAGAAGGGAAAGAGGTGAAATGCATTTATCTGGAGTGACAAAGACTTTTCCACTGATGAGAAAGTGTTTGTATTATAAAGATAATAAAACCAACCTTTAATCTTTTTGCAGACGTCAAAACTGCAATATTTGAGTAAATTAAGATCGTTTCAACTCTCTTATAAAGCTACTTCCAATAGTCTTTGCATTTAAAGTAGAATCTTTCTACGCAGTATGCACAAAGAAACCACCCCCACCTCAAGTACATGTGCAGGGTTTCAGCTCATATCTCTGATGGCAAACCCTTATCAGCTGACAGCATGATTACAAAACAAGATGAAAGGGGATAACGAACAAAGCTTAGAAATCCCTTTTCAGTCTATTTTCATTAAACACCCCATGAAATGCCTGATGAAATTGAAGATTGTGCTTCAAATGTGGCTGTTTTAATCAAATGAAGCTCCGGGTTGAGTAAGAGTCAACTGGGTCTTTTTAATCTCGTTTTTTCCCCTCTCAGGATCTGGGACTGCAGGGATCGTCCCTCAACGACATTTTGTACAAGAATGCCGCGTTTCTCAACTTGGTGGACCCCATCTCCCATGAGCTGCTGCTCAGTCTGGCTCGAGACCTGCAGTGCCCAAAAAGGGTATGAATGAACTCGTTCCTTCATCTACTGTTGCAGTCGGGATAACTCGCCTCTCTCAAAAGGCCATCTGAAATGTAACCACTCTTAAGGGCATGAGTCGAGTCTCCTGTCATTCTGTTGTGAGAGAAATAAGCTGCCTGTTTATCATAGGACATACTATATAAATGCAGAGGCTGTGGGGAAAGTGGCATGAGAGATAGAGAGGTTGAATGGTTGGCAGCGGGCCGGGGTTTGACCCCGTATCTGCAACAGTTCGCCCTCTTTGCCGCTCTGAGCTCACAGTGGGAGAGCGGGAGCAGCTGTGCTGTGAGAGCTGCCTGTTAAATAGATTATCTGCATTGTTTGCGGTATACTGTGCAGGTGTCCGTGCCACTGAACCGAGCCCAACGAGAGGCCTCTGAGGCAGTGGGGGCACTTTGAGATCCTGATGAGTGGCCGGTGGCCAGTGGAAGTCCGTCGTTGTCCTGGCTTCAGACACGTTGCACTGTTTGGATGAGAACCATCCATCTATTATCTTGACCCCCATATTAGTCGTCCCGGGTGAGGGTAGAGCCTATCCCAGCTGACATTTAGGAAAGAAGAAGGCAAACAATACCACATATGTTGCCTAAAAGCAGTCAAAACTGAAAAGTGAATTTCAGAAATAATAAAAAATATAGAAGAAGTCAAATATTGAAAATGAGACATTTCATGGAAAAATGTTTTCTCATCATGAGTTTGATGGCAGCAAAGTTTGAACAGAGCCTTGTTGACCACTTTGTATGCATTCAAATTCTTCTGATGACATTCTATACATTTCTGGGAACTGAATGGACCAGATATCCGCTTTTGCCTGTTCCCACTGAATCTTTCTTATGATAATTGTACCATGGATTATGGGAAAGCGTGCTTTTTCTCATTGAGGTACTGAGTTTTTCTGAAAATAATCCACAATAGTTTTTCTTTTTGTTTTTCTTTTGCAGAACCCCAACTTCTCTTTACCTCTGTGGGCCTCCACAGTCATACCCAATAATGTTCCTGACCTCTTACCAATTAATCTAGTTAGCTGCATCATGTTCCTGTTTTCTTTTGTAGTGCCACTTATATTTCGGCCTCTCACAACATCTGTTGGATGAGTGGCTGCTATCAAACTCAAGGTGAATTAATATTCTTTTGTGAAATGCTAAAATGCTTCACTTCAATAATCTGATGTTTTCTATCTTCTGTGGTGTATTAAACATTGATTTATGACATTGACACCTTGCTTCATTCTGTTTTTATCTAGGTATTGCAGTCCCGACCTTTTTTGGGCTCAGTGGATTTAAAAGAACTGATTTTTTGTTAAATAAATGACCCAGCAACACATCAAACAAATCAATTCCATTCAAATTCTAGGTGCATTTCTGTCAAAGGTATTGGCACAACAGCTCAGAGCAGTTCTAAATAAATTCAGCAGCTTGCACAGTTTTTTATGTTTTTAAAGTAGAGATTAGACTCTTTATTACATTCCAGTGTGCTCTTTAAGTAACTTTTTTTCTAGTCTTTTTGCTTTTACCAAGGAATAACCAGACGTTAGGGACAGAAAGTGAAGGGCTAGCAGCAGGGCTCTCCTGACTGGCTGACGACCCGTGGCAAGATATTGTGTCAAACGTGACAGGAGTGTAGAGAGGCTGTGTGTTGAATTTAGAGCCCTGCAGATGCCTCTGTGGTCAATATTTTCCAGCGCACTGAGATTTACTGTGATTCATTCAAGGACACATTGTGAGTTAAAGCAAACGTAATTTGTGCATGCTTTAAAGCACATCTCATTAGTTTTAGACAGCTAATCTGATGTATGTTTGGGTTTGATGCACTCATGTTTGCAGTTGCACAATATGTGTCCTAGAAAATCTGTCCCGTAGGTTCTGTCCAGATCAAGCATCTTGCAATAACACTCTCAGGTTACAAATCAGTATGTGATGCTGTAACATGGTGCTCACTCATCCAAGTGGTTGAGACACCAGCACAGAATGTTTCAAAGTGTGAGGCCTGTTTGTTTTGTTTCCCACAGAAAGACGTGGCAGCAGGAATGGCTAATCGCCTTAGGGTAAATTGCCCCCATCTTTTCTTTTTTTTCTCCATCTCTCTCGCCACATTGCCTCTTCCTTGTTGTTGTGTTGTGCCATTAATTAGATTTAGCCTACTCAGCCGTGCAACCCATACCATTTGAAGTCTTCGACAGTAGAGGGAAGAGACACAGGGTTAGGTAGAGGAGAAACATGGAGGGAGAGGGGGCAGAAACAGAACTTCCAGAGGAAAAAATAGATCAGATACGGAGCATTTAAAGTGGACTTTGCTGTTTAACTAAGCCTTTCATTGTTCCAAACTCATCAAATGTTTTCCATCTAATATGTGCTGCCAGAGGTTGCTACAAAGTGAGTACGTTGGTTAAATTCTTATTCATATGTGTTCCAGGAGACTGATGCGCTAAAGTCTACCAACAAGATATGCCGTCAGCTGATTTATCACCTGACACCTCACTCCAAGTGGACGAGACAGAGTGTGCCCAGGAGGAAATCACAGGCCTGGTGAGTGTCTGTGAGCCACCCTACCATCTCTTTTCAGAAGACAGAGTCAATTAGATCTCATCAAAAGCACCAATGAGTCTTCTGACATACAGCATGGCTGGGAAAAGTTCTCAGTTCTTAAAAAGTGTTATTCCCACTGTATCATTTTTTAATCCCCACTCTGCTATATCTGTGTATCTGTTAAACCTTCTAACTGCCCATAGGCTATTAATAGCCCTGTTTAGCTGCTCAACTGCTCGATCTGTTTGAGGGTTTTGTTTAATTGTTAGCTTCGGATTTAAAATGTGCAAGTAACCCCAAAATTACTTGGATCCAGTGTTCACTACTTTTGGCTTTGTGAATATTAGCCATGCTAAACCCGGCCAGAGTGGAATATCCATGTTGTCCCTGTTCTGGGTTTCTCTTCAGGTGCTCCAGCCTCCTCCCATCTTCCAAGAAGGTCATTTGGTGTCATTTGGTTAGAAAAGTTGTTCTTTATTGTAGGAGGCTGTGAAACTTAACCTCTTTATCAAGGTGACATCAGCCAGTCAGTGTTACATAAGCATGGATTTTAATTTTGTAACAGCCCCACTGTCTGCTGACATAACAAAGCAATCCACTTCACAGTTATAGACCAGACAAATTCAGACATGCCCTTCATTTGTTAATTAAAAGTTAAATAAATCAAGTCGTGCCCCTCTGGGAGATCCCACTGGAATAAATCAGTGAAAGAATTTCTCCTCATTGACACCTTTTATGATGAGATTGTGTCCTTTTTGTTGCTTAGGCCTGTTTCCAGTTGAAAAAATTTTCTTATAGTTATTGATTCATTATTCTGCCCCCCTAAAAACACTCCTGTTTCTTGCAATATGGTTTAACAAAGACTTAAAAGTTATCTAAATTAAAGTTAATGTAGGCTGTTTTCTATATGTTCTGATACAGTCATGTTTTGTCCCCAGAAAAAACTTCATCAGACTTCCAAAAAGACATTTTACAATAGTTACGGAAAGAACCTGGTATAAACCATTTCTTTCCTTAACAATTAACTTTCGCTGAATTTCAAACCAGCTATTCTTCTGTCAAGTATAAAGCTGTAGCTCACATAATTGGGAATCATTAATATTGATCTTAGGAAGCATCATTATAAGCAGAAACCTTTGCTGCCTCTCTCTTACTCTTTTTGTTCTCCAGTTATTTTACATACACATACATTAAATCAGAGACATTTTCTGTATTTATCATTTGTTTTAATTAAATCAAAACTAAACATCTAAAACACTTTTCTTTTATTAATTCGCTTTCATAACCTGCCTAATACATCAGTTACAAGAACAGCTGCAAACCGTTTTAGTTACGAAAATTGTTTATTTTTTCAAACTATTTCCAAACGACCTGGAGACTCCCAAAAGGAGAAATTAATAAGACCCTGTTACATGCAAGACTGAACTAAACCATGCAAACTAAACCATCAAGCTGCAGACTATCAAAGGTCAGACACAGATTAGTTTAATCTGTTGGGATTTCCGTGACATCAGTTACAGTCATTTCGCTAAAGCCTGTTGGGCCTCTGAGATATGCTGTGATTCACCACTGCAGCAGTGTTTCATTTAAAAAAACAACCGCTTTCATATCACCACAAAAAAAAGGAGATGCTGTAAATTTTGCCTTCCTTCTTTAGAAAATGATAAGGATAGATGTGAAAATATTGGACTGATGTTGAAGCAATGTTGAGTCTCTTTTTGGATACTTCGAGGGACATTTTAAATTGTAATCAAGTGTACACAACAAATGTTTGAGAACCTGTTGTGGCAAAGAATCACAAAAAAGTGTGATAAATTGAGAGAGTAACCAGAGGAAACTGTATGTGCAAACTCACTGTAATTTCTCAGACTCAAAATAAGCAACAGGTTACAAAAAAAAGGGCTTATAATAATGGTGAGACTTTCTCCCTGAGCAATTAACCCAGATAGAAAGATATTTTGACGGCTTGGGTTAACTTCCCACCCCTGTCTCCTGTTTGCGAGTGTTTCAAAATAACACTCAACAAAACAGCGAGCCAGACTCTCCCAGCGAGCTCATTAGCAGGCTCTGTCTTTCACAGCCTCCGCTGCAGACATCCACACAGCAGCAGCACGCTCCTTCAGGATTTTTGTTTTTTTTTCCGCGAATACGACGCCCTCAAAAACGTGCAGCAAATGAGAATACCTTTGGATTCAGTCAAACGTTCACAACACCGTTCCTAAAGTCCTCTTTGTCACCTCTCATTCTTGGCCCGTCTCCTCCATCACCTTTTTCACCCCTCCTCAGTCCCTCCACTTTCGAGATCCTTTCCTGGCATTCATTTTCTCCCTCTCCTTCTTGTGAGGGCTCATTTGATTCAACAGTTGCCGTACATAGGCGTTTTGTGCAGTGTGAGCTAGGGCCCAGGGGAAAGGCTCTGTCAGACAGAGGGAAAAGGGGGGAGGCAGAATCACTGCAAGGTTGCAGAACAGAAGTCACGCTTTTCCCTCTTGCCTCCTGCCTCACTTCATCTTGAGTTTGATCTTTTCATATTCTGCAGGGGGGAAAAAAATACAAGCCATCACACCACCTGCAGCATATTGTATTTTGTTGTTCCTGTTTTCTACTTGAAGTGGAATTGAGCAGTCTGTCTGATAAATGTGGAACCTGCTCTCTATCCTTTGGCTCAAATTGGATTGTTTTCATGAAATATAAGCAGGTGGTTGCAAATGTTCAAGAGATGACACATGAATCACAATTCAAGCTTTATTACTGGGGCCTGGTTTGCTTCACCAAAACAGTAGCTGCAAGTGTGTCACACTAAAGGCAATTTCATTCTCTCTGCAGCAGCAAGAGCCAGGTTTCTGAGAAGTACAGTACTGCGGGATTCCCAGAGGTCTTAATATTATGATGATTGGTATTAAATTTCAGATTAATGAAGCTCATATCTTTTATTAGGCTAGAATTGCCTTACAGCACATTTTGCAGAGATTGGACTCCAGTTTGCAGATGCTCTTTCAGTTCTTGCCTCCATGCTGCAGTGTGGTAATTTCTGTTACAGCATAGCTTATAGGCATCTTTATCACTTTGAAGGGACTCACTTCAGATACAGAGCAACATTTCTTCCAACGTGCTGTGTGAAGATGTGGAGGGAAAAAGCTTCCTAGTCTTTATGGACATCTATCTTGACATCTTTGATACACCAGATACATTGTTCGGTGGGATCTGGTCAAATGCAAATCATGAGAGGGAAAGGCTGGGGCAGCTGTTTTGAGCAGGTTTCATTCTGTGGTTGAGTGTTGGTAGTTTGAGTCCTGATAATTGACCCAGACCTCACGCCGCTCAGGCTTAACTACCTTCCCTCTCACAGCTCACACTGTGCAAGCTGTTCAAAACTAATGTAATCCTGTTTGTCAAAGTTCATATGAAGGCCGATCGTGACTGAACAGAGGACACAAGCGTGGCATAATGCCATGAACACACCACAAGCATATCAGAGAAGTAAATCAGTTTTTTGGAAGGATGGGCACTCTTAAATAACGAGGAATTCACGGCGGAGGCTGAAGTCAGTACTCCACCGCTCTTATCGTCAGAAAAACCACATCTGGTAACGTTCAACTTCTGAAATGCACAATTCAACTCTGGAGAAACCGCAGCTACACACCTTACATTCTTACATCCCAACATCATAGACATTCGAAGCAGCAAACATGAAACATCTGGAATTGTGAATAACCTTTTCACAAAGCGTCACTGATTGTGCTGATATTTATTTATCTCTGAATGTCTGCTTAAATAAACCCACAACATGCATAATTTGTTACTGCATGCACCTCAAACAGTTGGATAAGATACTGAAACGGTCTCTTTAAAGTCAAACCATATTAACTTGGGTTAAATTTTTTGTAGTGTTTCTGGTCAAAGCCACGTGTTTGCCTATGCCTCCAAAATATCCCAGATTTAGCTGCTGATTAACAAAGCTAGAGATACGTCATGTTTTTATGTGCTGAAAAAGGCTTTTAAGAGTAAATAAAAGTTTTTTTTTTCATCTATCTTTATGGCTATACAAATGATTGTGTATTTTCTTTCTCACCATCACTGTTTGTATTTTCATCAAGTGGCCCTTTATGCCACCATGACATCTCTGAATAATACCCCTACATTAGCCAGCAAAAAGCTGACTGGACATCTCAACTGTATTTCTTTGAGAAGTGACTATTTTTAAGACATCTAGTCGATAGTCGTTTCTCGCATTGTTGCTCGGCTAAATTACAACGGCTGCATATCTGGCCAACATTCTTCATTCTTAGCCAGCTTCTAAGTCATCAGAGACGTGCTGGCTGGGACTCTTTAACTAGAGTCCCCCCCCTCCCCCCAGATTGGCTCACCCCAATTTGCTTTTAAAAAGATATGTTCTGCCTCCCTACTTGTTTTTTTATCTTTTTGTGATCTTTGCAAAGCTTTTGCGAGATTTGTCATCTTAACTGTACTTTTCATGAAAAGCAATATATTTTGGCATCCGGTTTCAACAGTTTTATTTTTAACTTTGGCATTTTAAACACTCCCTTCTGCAAAAACCCATCTGAATACATATGCTTTTCATTACACAGCTAACATTTCTTCTAATATTGCATGAGAAAATTATATACTCAACATGTGGCATGCTGACCTATGTGTCATTTGTTTTCTATACATGTATGTCAACCCCCCCCCCCCCCGAAAGTGTGCATTTGGAGGCTCTAATACAGCATTCTGGACCTCAAACTAACCTCTGACATTGAGTCAAAAGGCTCAAAACTCTCACAAGGAACTTACATGAAGAAAACAGAATATCTATTTCTAAGGTCATGTTTCAGTTCGGGGATAAAGTTTGCACTTGTCTGCGTGTTGCACTCAGTCTGTTCAATCCACTTTCTGGTTGACCTCCACTTTTAATAGAGACATAAAGATCCAGCCACCATCTTTGTTCATGAATAATTGAGGGCTTCCCGCAGTACAAACTGAGATCCTGCAAGATGAGGGGGT